ATGATAACGTAGGGTGGCTCACTCTTTGCGGCTGGCTAGCATCTCTCGGCTCAGGTGCCTTCTTGACTGGTGGACTGATTCAAGGTCTTATCATGCTATGCCAACCTACGTCCTATGTCCCTCAAAACTGGCACGTCACCCTCTTCTACTGGGCTATAATAGCCTTCTGCATCTTCATCAATGTGGGAGCCGGCTGGCTGTTGCCCAAGTTCGAAGGCGCACTGCTGTTCCTACATATCCTTGGTTTCTTCGCCATTTTGATCCCTCTTCTGGTAATGGGCCCGCAGGGAGATGCCCAGGATATTTTTACAACTTTTTTGAATATGGGAGGCTGGAATAGTCAGGGACTGAGCTTTTGTGTGGGCATCATGGGGAGTGTGTTTGCTTTCGTCGGTGAGTTTTCCTGAGTCGATTCATCTCCGATCACCTGTTCTCTCCAAGAACGAGTTCTGACTGACATGGATATCAGGTGGTGACGGTCCTATTCATGTAAGTCTTCCGAACCTCAGGTCCCAATTCCAGAGAAACGAAAAGCACTAGCAACTCGCCTGCTAACTCTTCCACAGCTCTCCGAAGAAATCCAAAATGCGCAGGTCGTCGTGCCCCGCTCAATCATGATTGGTATCGCTATGAACGGCACCCTCGGTTTCGGCATGCTCCTCACTGTCCTCTTCCGCATGGGCGATCTCGACTCGGTCCTCGCTGAAAATCCCGCATTCCCATTCATGGTCATCTTCCACCGTGCAGTGCAATCGCGATCTGGCGCCGCTGTTATGGCTTCACTAGTCATGGTTCTAACCATCGGCGCAGGCGTCGGCCTCTCAGCCTCCACGTCCCGCATCTGCTGGGCTTTTGCCCGAGACAAAGGGCTACCAGGTTGGAAAACACTAAGCAAGGTAGAACCACTCATTTTCTCTGTTCCCAGAGTGTCAGTAATCTTACACGTTACAGGTCAGCTCCAGAACCCAAATCCCCGTCCCCGCCGTCCTCTTCACAAATATAACCGCCTGCCTCCTTGCTCTCATCAACATTGGCTCCACCACTGCCTTCAACGGCATCATCTCCGTCGCCATCGCCGGCCTTTTCTCTTCGTACCTTCTCACTTGTTCCTTGCTACTCTACCGCCGCTGTACAGGCGGTATCGGCCCCCCTACGGATCCTATCGCCGCACTGCCATCATCCCCGCTCAATCAAGACTCGAAAATACATGCAGTATGGGGGCCCTGGCGTCTCCCAGCTGTTTTGGGTATCGCCAACAACGCTTTTGCATGCGCCTATTTGTGTTTTGTGCTCTTCTTCAGTTTCTGGCCTAGCTTTGCGCAAGTCACGGTGCAGAATATGAACTGGGCGGTGCTGGTTACGAGTGTGATTGCGGGAATGAGCGTTGTGTATTATGTGGTTTGGGCCAGGAAAGTGTATCGTGGGCCGGTGGTGGAGGTGGATGTGGCGAGTGAGGGTGGTGGTGTCAGGGACAATGAGGGAGTGTAAGGGTGGTTGGAATTATTACCGGGGAGATGGTATGACGTAAATGGGGGCATGGGGGCATTCTTTTATACGTGGGACGTATGTTGTACTGCTCAGGGGGAGATTTTGAAAATCGGCATGGGAGTCAATCATGATTTACGAACATTTCTTCACAAAAGCTCACATGAAATTAGGGCCAGGCGGTTCAAATCGAACGTAGCTCATTTACTGAGCAAATGGTATATACTACGTCAATCATCATCATCATCATCATCATCATATACACGTTAAACAACAAAAAACAGCATTGGTATCGACTCGCCACGTTAAGCAATCCAGAACCAAATCTTCTGCCAGACATTCTTCGGTACGGGCGCCCCCGAAATATCATCCTTGCACAGCTCATTCATTTCCCGGACTCCAGTCGTGACATCGATGCTCTGCACAGGAATTGCAAACCTGGTCCTAGTCGCAATCTTGTGGCCAAAGTAGAAGGCGAGGAAGATAGGCAGGGTGATGTATGCAGCAAGGAAGTTGGAAACATCCCAATCAGCGGGGACAAAGACCTGGAAGCCGTTTGTGAGGGTGAGGAGGGAAATGACGAAGAGGGTGAAATAAGTGAGGTATGGCTGGAAAGGCGTGCGGTAAGGCAGGGTCTCGAGAACGCCGTTGAAGATCATGGCTTTGCGGAAGCGGATGTAGGTGATCATGACGACGATCCAGGCGATGAAGCCGGAGATGGTGGAGATGTTGGAGAACCAGAGGAAGACCTGGGCGCCGGTGTTTGAGACGTTGAGGTAGGCGAGGAGGCCGATTGCCCATGTTGCGAGGACAGCGACGTACGGGACGCCTTTTTTGCTGGTGCGGCCAAAGATCTTGGGGGCTTCGCCATTGAGGGCCATGCCGTAGAGGACGCGCGAGCCGGAGAAGAGGAAGGCGTTGCCGGCGGACCAGGCGGATGTTAGAACGGCGGCGTTGACGACGTGGTTCAAGCCTGCGATGCCGGCTCTTTGGATGCCGATGACGAAGGGAGATGCTGAGGCGTTGGAGCTTCCGCCGAGACGGTCGTCGTCGGAGGGGACAATGACGCCGATGATGAAGGATCCAAGGCCGTAGAAGATGGCCAGACGGTATACGAAGCGACCTGCGGCCTTGGGGATGTTGCGACGAGGTGCAATGGTCTCTCCAGCAGCAAGGGCAATCAGTTCAGGCGAGGTGATGAAGGCGAACCCAGCGCGAACAAAGGCAGTCCAGTATGCAAGGAAATTTCCAGCATTTCCATCTACGATATATGGCTTAAAGGCACCGGGATTGTTCCAGTACCTAAAACCCAGGCGGCCTTGATCATTTGGACTTCCACCAAGCATAATGACGAAACCCAGAATAACGAGGCCGATGATGGTGATAAACTTGATAGAGGCAAACCAGAACTCTGCTTCTCCAAAAAACTCGACAGCGATGATGTTGAGCAAGAGGACGACAATCAGGAAAATGGTGATCCACACAGCATTGTGAACGGGAGTTTGCCAGTAATCGAGGAGAATGGCTCCAGCCGTGGCCTCTGCGGCAACAAGAATGGCGTACGCATACCAGTAATTCCACCCCGCGGCAAAAGCTAAGCTGGGATCGACGAATCGTTTTACAAAGTATGGAATCGTGATTCCGCGCATTGGCAAAAAGGTGACGATTTCAGCCAAGTTGTTCATGACGTTGTAAACAACGAGCATCATGCTCAGGTAGGCCATGAACAAAGGTGCGGGGCCGACGAGGGCGAGAATAGAACCCGATCCGATGAAGAGACCAGTACCGATGGCACCACCAAGAGCACTGGATCTTTATCAGCATCCGACCTATTTCAAGATTGAAACGCGCATACTTACAGAAACTGAATATGCCTAGATTTCAATCCACGATGTGTGTCTCCTCCCCGACCCGTCTCGCCGCCCACAGTAGCAGCGCCATGGACAATGGGCTCCTCGAAGCCGGCATTATTCTCCTCGTAGCCATAAGGGGCCGACTCGGGCTTTTCATCTGCCATGTAATGGTTCGGCATGACTAGAGTGGTAGGAGAGTGAAATGACAGGCTCGCCGGTACCAAACTTGGCCAGTGTAAATCGGGAGATGGTAGGTCATTATATACTACAAGATACGGCGTCACAAAAAGCGCAAGGCGGGGTGGCGCACGCGAGGAGCTGTTCAGGCAGAGATTTCCAACATGGTGAAATGGGCCGAGACGGGAAGGAAGGGTACTACTTTCCCAGGTTGGGGTTCCAAGAAGGCATCCATGGTGTGGGACGATGCTGTAGCGTTGGCGGCGCAGACGCATGCATAGCTAGGCGACTCTGGGGAACCAATTGTCGTTAGGTAATGGCAAACTACCGACGAAAAGGCGGGGGAATGACCTTGGCGTGCCGTGAAGGATGCCACACAGAGCAAGGCCTGGCGTGATGACGCCCTGGTCGTGCGTCTCGCATTTTCTCGGCTCTGTCCTTGCTGGGCGCTGGGCACTGTTCGAGATGTGGTGTGTGAAGGCTGTTTTCAGCCCAGCCCGATGAGCGGAGTGAGGCCTTATGGCTCTGAGCCGAAGAAAAGCGCGCGCCGTGGGGTTGAGGCTCAGCTTCGCCATAGCCAGAGCCCTGACAAGCTTCTGGAATACGCGCTATTTGACGCTAGAGGGGTTAGCGTCCGCTAGTGCCCCACCTATGGTTTGCCAGATGCTGCCCGGCACTGTGCACACTGGAGACCATCCATGTGGTTTATGGAGAAGGGTGCGGATTCATGGCCTCGTCTGGAGATCACGGGGTTAGCTCTACGACCCTTATTGTCCTCCGGTGTCATTGTGCGACGGCCAGTATTCGGCAGCACTCCTATAACAAAGTCTCGAGTCGGCTGTCAGACTACGCGTCATACGTCTTGTGCAACCATCACAGCTTGCAGATTTTTCTCTTTGCTCGCTTGGCCTTGTAACCGCAAAGTCTGCGTCTTTATCACTTCATGCCACAACAAAATATACCCTTATCTCTGGCTCTTCACACCGCTGGGGTTTGCAAACGTAAAAGATACTCGTCCAAAAGCCTCCCAGGCGCACCCACTTGGCTCAGAACATGTTCGTTGCGGGTCCTAGTGGAGACACCAACCCCAGAGCGCTATGGACACATGGCGTGACCCACTATCCTCCACACATCAACCTACCCAGCCGTCTGCACTTTGACATAGGGCTATTATCTCCGCACGACTATTCCAGTGATAGGCAAGCTTCCCCTCTTATCCAATACGAGATTGTTCGGTCTAAAAGTGACCATTGCATTGGGTTTTCCCTAAACACGGTCATGGGTCAGACAGGTACACTACCCCGGGCCCATAGTACTGCCGCAATCCAGCGATCAGCACGGCACCTGATTGATATCAAGGAATATAATCTGCATCCTCGCTAGGCCAACGTCAGCTCATGTTATCAAGTCGTCAGCCCTTCTCAGGGTTGAGACCAATCCATCGGCAGTTACCACTTCACTCTCTCATACTATGCTGGTATCGACATGTTCAGTGGCGACTATACAATTAAGAAGGGACGACTTGATACATTCCTAGACGACCATCGTTTGCAATTCCACCCCGGGGCCAGCTTGGTCAACCTTTTCGCCAAAGGAGAAAGCTGCCACTTCGAGATGTCATGGGTTATTTCTTCCGACAACCCTTCCAAAGCCACCTTCCTCCACGCTTTTGTTTTGGTACCATTTTAGCTCCAACACGTAGTGAATCACAGACAACCTTTTCAGCCTCCAGGACGCATCAAAATTCAACCGATAAGAAACACATTGCAGGAGAAAGTGAAAGACACTGCAGTTCTCATTGGGGATTCGCAACCCCAGATGTACGGAGGTTACGTGAGGCTCAACTTCGGCGCAAAAGAACCGCCACCCGCTCAACCCCTCACCCTGCCACCCGTCAGCGGCAACAAGCGAAAGTGCAAGCACATGCACACGACAGCAAGACGTCATGGCAGCGGAATCCCTGATGCACCCACCATGCACCTTCCACGAGAACGACTCAAGATGCAACAACCCTTGCGCCCGTAGCACCCCCAACCGACCATGATACCGCAAGACGTGATCGAAAAAGCGCTATCCAGAGCCCAAGAAAGCGCATCACATAGCTGGGAACACAGCACAGTCTTCGAAGCCCTCCTCGAATACCGCAATCCACCCTACAGCGTCTTCTCCCCGGACCCATTTCCAAACGGCGAAACGCCAAGACTGAAGATCGAAGACATCGACGCCCTACGCTATGTAAGGCCGCTGATCCGGACCGATACCCCAACGCTCAGCGAAGACAACGGTGCGTTTGCCCCCTTGCATACTCCGTGCCCTGTCGTCAAGCGGTAGAAAAGAAGCGGACTACGAAAAGAAAGGAGACGAATACGAACCGCAGATTGCTTGCAATCAAGTCATTAAAACAACCATAGGCTCATCAGCAGACCCAGCATCCCTGTGTCTCCCCGCCCTGCTCCTCTCCCTCTCGCCATCGCTCTCCCCTTCCACCCAGACCACCTATTCCACCGCGCTATCCCGCCAACTCCACCAACTCCTAAAAGAAACACCGCGTTTCCCAAACGGCGCCCTATCCCACCGCACAACCCACCCCTCACTATGGTCCGATTTCATCTACATGGCACCCCCCATCCTCGCCTACACGGGCGTCTCTACCCACAATCCCTCTCTCCTCCATGAAAGCGTGCGCCAGTGCGAATCGTACTGCGAGATCCTACGTACACCATCGGGTGCTTGGCGCCACATCGCCAATCTCACCTCTTCTTCTACACCGGAGAAAGTAAAACAAGACAACGGCGCATGGACCACGAGTAATGCGTGGGCAGCCGCAGGCATGGCACGTGTACTAGCTACCCTGCTCCACTCTCCCTTTGCAGCACACACGACGGCGGAGCAGACCTCGCTTGTTGGTATGATTAAAGGTATTGTAGATGCGGCGAGGAGTGTGGATACGCATCCTTCGCGTTTGCTGCGCAATTATCTAGATGATGAGACTGCGTTTGCAGAGGTGGCGGGCACGGCGTTGATGGCTGCGGCCGTGTTTAGAGTCGCGGGCTTGGAAGGCGCGGGGGAGGTGCTTGGGGGTGGGTATACGGCGTGGGCGACGGAGAAGATGCGGGCGGTGGCGCAGCATGTTGATGTGCGGACGGGGGTTGCGGCACCGGTTGTCAATTCGCTGAAAGAGAGCCAGCAGATGCCTCCGGGAGAGATCAATCCCGAGGCGCAGGCGTTTGTCGTTTTGCTGTTTGCTGCGTGGCGGGATTGGAGTCAAGCTGAATCATCGAAAGGGGGTTATTTCCTAGACCAATTGTGACGTTGAGACTCTGGTTTGTGGAAAATGCCGTGATTGGTGCTGTGCTACAGACTCAGCGCAAAAGGGGTAACCACGTAGTGGCAGCAGTAATGTTGTATTTCGTGTACGCTGGATCCAAAAGAAAAGGATTGCGCTCGAATCCTGAGACTTTTCCTCTTTCCATTATCAAAGTATTAAACAGTTACTCGTCTACAATACCCCTCCGCTGTGCAAAAAAATAAGGATTAAAAAAAGATAGAAAAGAAGATTCGGCAGGTCGTCAACGTCCAAGCGGTTAACCTTAATCTTCCAGCGGTCATTACAACAACGATCTAACAGCGGAAAAAAAAAGAACAAGCCAAGGGGGTGTACTTGTGTGTATCCAGAAAGTTCGTGAGTTGGGTCTGACCTCGAACAAAAAAACATGGATCGTTAAAGAGAGCAACAGGAAAAAAAAAGAATGGACGTCTGGCCTTGATAAGGTGGATGACGTCAAAGCATGTGGATGACATGGTGATACATGACATGTCGTTGCTCCAATCGTTACTCGCTGGTGTCGTCAAAGCAGTCACAGGCAGGCCTAGTCGGTTCGGCCCTTGCCGTCGACAACGCCGTTGGACCTCAGGCTCTTCTCGTTGGGCTTCACGGGAATGGTAAAGCACTTGATACCAAGGTAGTCGCATATGCTCGTGATGACCAGGTGCGCCCATTTTCCGTAAACAACAAAGGCGAAAACAAAGTATGCGCGGAGGTACCAGAGCTCGAAGCTAGCGGACACGGGACCAAAGGTGGTTCCGGGAATGGTAAAGTAAGGGTGGTTGACAATCAGCGCTCCTCCAATCATGGGCGCCAGCATGATGGTCCAGTAGGGGAACGGCTGATGGGTGAGATGGGCCAGGATAATCTTGGTCGTCATTCGTCCAAAGACCAGCGACATGGTCAGGCAGTAGAGAACCAGGTGGTTATCCTCGAGGAGCTTCGAGTATGGCGATCCCAGCCAAGCCATGGTGCAGACAACGAAGATAATCAGGGGCGTCCATTCCTTGATCAGTGGAAGCACGGGCTGGTTCCTGGCTCGGCGTGCACGCGCAACGTTGAGGATGCATTCAGGGAGGTGCGCAACGAAGAAGGTGAAGAGAAGGATTGGCACCCAGAGTTCCTTGATAGTGATTTCGCCAATCTCCGCCTTGTAAGACGGGAAGTAGTTGGCAAGCGGGGTCGACCAGATCTCCGGGCCGAAGTATCCGGACAGGCAGATGAAGGTGCAGGCGAGAATCAGGCCCTCTGTATCGCGTGAGCTAATGTTCAGGAGAGCGCATGTATCCAGACTCACCCGTAGGTCCGTTAAAGTATCCCAGATACAGGGTATGCGTGTGGTACGTCTCCCACGTGGAGAAGAACATGGGCAGAACAGGAATAAGGGCAGTAAAGGCACCAATCTTGGTCGAGCCGTATCCAACAGCTGCAGTCTCCAGGAGGCTTGCCAGTGTGCAGTTCAGAGAATCAATGCCGTGGCTAGGTGTGACGGTCAGTGACGTGGTCTGGCGCGTTCGGCTACAATGTCACATACTCAAACAGTTCACCCAGCGGGCTCGACGAGCCGGTGCGACGCGCTTGCTTTCCGTCGACGTTGTCCATTGTGGAGTACCTGCAGGAGCATTAACGCAATGCTTGGGCGTGCGCAAACGTGGTGTTTGCTTACATCCACATGCCAAAGGCGAAGCTGTAGTAGACCCATGAGGGCGCTGGACCGACGAGATCGGGAATGTACACCTCGAGCAGCACAATGTTTCCTAGGATGAAGCAGAAGCCGAGTAGCGTGACGAGGTTCGGGGCGAGCCAGAGGGGCAGTAGTTCGACAAAGGCATTCCACTGCGCTAAAGTCAGACGAGGTCTTGTGGGTTGCGGGGATGCATGGCGCAGCGTACGTAGTGCTTTAGGATGTAGCGGGAGATGAAGGACTTGTCGACGCTCGAGTATTTGTACGTCCGCAGGTGCTGCAAAGCATCTTCAGAGACACACTCATGCTTCTTTGTCTCTGTAGACGTGTCAGTGTCAGCAGAAAAATAAAAACGATGGGCTAAAAGCCGGGCGCGCGCCAGGGGGCAGTTTGTACCTTTGCTCGGCGGCATGGTGGGCGTGGTGACAGGATGTGGCAGCGACATTTAGGCTAGCAGGGCGGGATTAATTTATAGTGGTTTACGATTGACCATGCACTGCTGTGGGGGGAATCTGCACTTCAGGAGCCGCCTGTCTCTTGTGGGTTGGGGTGGGCGTTTGGCTTCAGCGGCGGTCAAACTTCTAAAAGGGACGGGTCCGTCGGCTCGGTAGGCGAGGACCAGGGATCTCAGGGCCAGGGGTCCAGAAATTGCACGTCATTGCTCAGTTCCCAATGCTTCTGGCACGTGAAAGGTCCGTCCTGTGGCTCTTGCGCCCCTTTACTATTATCTACTACATAGTATGTCCGCTACACAGTAGTACTACCACATACCCACACATGTACCACTGCCGCCTATACTGCTAGTCTTTGCACACCCTCTTTGCTAATTCCACCTCAATAAAAACCCACTTGCCGTCTAAAAAGGATGCTTAACGCTTTTGAGCGTTAGGCAACGAAGCACCACTGCAAGCCCTGGGTTCCACGTTGCCAGCTTCTTCCAGTCAGCCATCATCGCCTGGCATGCCACCTTGGGAGGGTTTCCTCTTATCCAAGGTCCAACAAAAGACAGCGTGGTACAGTGGACTTCGATGTCAATCTCCTTTAGTCTTGGCAAAATTGGCTTCAGAGACATATTGTGGGGTTTGAGCCAAAACGGTAGATGCATCGCGAGGAGACGACTATTGGTCTTGAAGCCGTATATATATCCTTTGCTAACCCAGAGACGAGTGACGTGAATACTCAGTCTGCGTATGACTGTCCTGTACTTGGGCTGTCGGGCAAGCCATACTGGAAGCATTATCAGATCTGCGATGCGATACATGAACAGAGCCGCTATCATGTCGTCGTCTTCGTATCCCTCAAGCTCAAGGCTATATGCGCGCTTGTTCCTATTGAATTCTGTCAGGTCGCGGTTGTGAATAAATCCGATTCCAGAGTGGTCTATCTGTACGGTGGAATCTTTGAAGACGGTTGAGTATATCATCGCGCGTAGCTCGGTGGGTAGGCTAGGTAAAGTCAGCTTTCGGGGTGAGTCCTTAACAGTAATGTCTCTGGCCTTCACGTCCTTACTCTTTCCAACCTGCAGCATACTGCTCGTGTGCATAGGAGAAATGCTCATCTTTCTAGCTGTGTAATTGTTAAGAGGATTCAAAGTCGTGTGTTAGTTCTTGGTGTTCAGGCGGAGATGCAGAGGATACAACGGGTTTTTATAGCACCTGTGAGTGAGTCATTATTTGGAGTTGAGGAAATAGAGCAACAGTATGTCAACCATGGGTGGAAAGGCTTGACCACTGAACTCTGGCTTACTCATCCACAACACTCAGCCGTGGTAACAAACGGGCACGACGTGGCATGGTACATGTTATAAATGTACCTGAATAAAGATGCCTGCTTCTACGAAGAATTTGTTACACAAAATCATGGTGAAACCATATCAATAGCGGCTGACTGCAGCTTGAGCAAAGTCTCGCTAGCAAAGCCGCTCATTACGCCTAAGCTCACAATCCAAATCACACGCCAATCGCCATACCAAGGCTCACAGCCCTGATCTGCAATAGAGCAGGAGCAGCTGGACAAAAACCACCTGATCCATGAGAACACACATGAGCCTTCATTTACGATGCTGCAGCCGCCTTCCTTTGATCCTCCTCTTTCCGCATGTCCTCCAAAAACTTTTCCCATGTTTCAATCGTGCCCTGGAAGAAATCCACGTGCGCATCTGCTAGATCACCGAGCGTGTCCTTGAACTCAATGGCTTTGATACGTTCAAAATCAGTCACTTCCTTGACAGTGTGCTCATCAAATGCCTCGCTGGCCTTCTTTGAAAGCTCCACTTCACTTGTCAGACGCTCAATCTCGACTTCGAGTTTGCGGACCCGTTGCCGACGCGCTTGGTCGTGGTCGATACCTCGGAAATCCTCAACCTTGGATCGTAAGAAGCCAGATGCACCCATGCCCGCCCCAGTTGCGCTAGCCAGCGAATCACGGTCCGCAGCAGACTTGGCCAGGTATTCGCTCAACTGCTCAAAGTCAAGCTGCTTACCCTCCCTCGTTCGAAGCAGCGTCTTTACGGCCTGGATATACGCATCCATGTCTCGTAAACTAGTCAGGTAGTTCTGGTCTGTGTGATCGCGAATAGACTTGAAGCCCTGTGAGGTGGTGTTGACAGAAGCGGCGAACGAGGTCAGGTTGCCTTCGACTGCAGGCTCCATGGTAGTCAGCTTCTGGCACTGTGTCGCTAGGTCGGCGTAGTCGGTCTCCAAGTCTCCTTGCCGCCGGGCGACCTTGACGGTAACCTTTTCCACATTGTTCAAGTCCTCGCTGAGCTTGTTGGCTCGTTCGCTGACCTCAATAAAGCGCTGGTCCGGCTTGTGTATCTTGGTGAAGGTGTTGACGAATGTGTCTGCTATGGCATCGACGAAGCCGCCGCTGCCTTGCTCAGACCCACTTGCTGCTCTCGACGATCTTCCCTTCATGTGCTGGTTCCAATCCGGGCTCTCGAGGAAGTTGATAACAAGCACGGCTCTTCGCAGTACAGGATGTAGCGCTATCCGCTTCAGGAAGCGGTGCAGGGAGTGGGCTCTTCTCTGTGTAAAGTCCGGACCGAAGCGGTCTCCGCGTACATACTCCATTTTGTGCTTGTCGGGTAGCGGAGGGACGGCGCATTGTGGATACTCTTTGGAGAGCTGTTTCCAGAGGAAGACAAAGTCTGTGAAGCGGCGGCGCACGGAGAATTCGGGCTTCTGGAAGGACTGGAAGTCGGACTATAGGCGGGGTTAGGTGTTAGAGACGGGGTACGTGAAGACAGAACTGCAGAAATGGGCCAAGGTACCAACCTTTGTAGTCACCAGATAGGAAACATATTGGTTCTGGGTGCCTGCCAACTCTTTCTGTGGGCTGCCGACAAACGTCTCTAGGCGCCCTTCGCTGAAGTCGCCCCCCATTGCGCGTCTGCGGGGTGCGTTTGGATCGCGGGTGAGTATCAGGCGACTCTGTTGGAGCTCTTCAAAGTCGCTTAGGCAGTCGTAGTCTGGCTCGTCTAGTAAATCGTCGCACTGATCGCGAGGGCTTCCTGTCTGCTGTGGTCCTGGTAAGCTCGGAGCTGAGTCGGTGACGTCGGTTGGAGAGGCAGTGTTAGGGTGGCCTGGGCTCTCGCCCGCACCCTCGCCCTCCCAGGTGAGCGACCGGCACCGGATCCGCTCGTACATTGCTTCAAAGTCATCAACACTTGACAGCAGCATGTAGTCACAAGGTCTGTATTCAAAGGCTCAATGAGCGTGTTTGATGTGCGCGTATCAATCGTTCCTGCTCAGCTAAGTGCAAACAGGCCTGCAATCATACCACAGTCGGTGAATATCTACAGTGAATGCGGAATGCGCAACTTGCCCAAGCAAACGCGCTCCCTTGTCGCGTGCATGGTCAGATACATTTATGCTTAATCCAGAAGGCCACCCTAAGTCCTTGGTCTGTAAACCAGAAAAGTGTAACGGTATCATCGTGACATAATCAAACACTCGTAACTCAAGCCCATCAGTACACACACTACTGCTCACCACCGAAGCGCTTGCCGAACTCGTTGAAGAGCTTGGGGGATATCTCGTCGCTGCTGTTTCCATTCACGGTCCACAGCACGCCCAGCTTGTCGTAGTGCTCAAGCAGAGGCTCGCTGGTTTCCTTGAAGCTCCGGAGACGCGCCTTCCACACCTCTGGGTCGTCGTCTGCGCGCCGCGTAAGCGGCTCACCCGTGACATCGTCTTTGCCCGACACCTTTGGCGCATTAAACGTAGTGTTGTAAACGCGCCCCGAGGGTTCGTGCACCCAGCGATTGCAGATGCGGTCGATAATGATGTCACTAGGTGTGTTGAGATGGACGACCATGTTGATGGGCACAATGTTGTCGAGTTGAATTGCCTGGACAGCAGTGCGCGGGAAGCCGTCGAGGATGAAGGATGCCGAGGGGTGGTTGGAGAAGGTGTAGCGCGGGGCCCGCACCTCGGACGGAATCATGACCGAGTCAACTGTAGTGTCGGCCATGTCCATGGAACTGAAGTTGAGGGCATATGGCCGCAGCGCATTGTCCCGTATCCATCCCCGCGTCGTCAGTTCATTCACAATCAGGCGCAGGATCATTGTGTCTGGCACCAGCTTTCCGGACTTCATGGTCGACTCGGCCTTGATGCCTGCGACAGGTCAGCATTGGGTTATTTTATTTTTTTCCTAGCGCGGGGAACGAGCGCGCATACCGAGAGGAGTCCGCTCCCTCACATTCTTCCTCAGCAGGTCGCCAGAACTGATTGCCGATAGTTGGGAGAATTTCTTCATCAAGCGCTCCGTCTGAGTGCCCTTGCCAACACCGGGCGCGCCCACCAGGATGATTCTGGCCGCCCTTGCTAAACTTGGTATGTGCATTATGATGTGTTTTGTGAAAAGATGGCCGTGGGTGGCTAGAGGGGGGTTACGATGGCTATGTATGCCGGGGTATTTGTCGGTACGAGAAGTGAAGCGCGGCGGGCTTCGCGGCGGGTGTGCAAATATTAAAAATGGTCCATTGTAAGCGGAGGTCGGGGGAAGGGAATAGCGATCTGGGGAAAGGGAAGAAGGAGAAGGAGAAGAATGGAGGACGGCGACGCGGCCAAAGTCCTTTTTCGTAGGACAAGACGCTGACCAACGTCGGGTAAACGTAGAGGAGGGGACGGCAAGGCCCAGGACTGAATCGCATTCTCTCTGTCGAAGTTGCGGCCATCGGCCACGGCAAAGCCTCGGCCATAACCACAATGCCTACTTTGCTGCTTAACGGGGGCACATAACACCCGACAGTGGTCGCCGGAGCGTCTGCACGGCCTGCGTCGAGATTGCATACATATGTATGCGTATCCGGCCTGTTCCTAGGCGCAGTTATTCATCCGTCATGGAGACGCAGGCCAGTGCCAGGCTGCGTTGGTGGCGACCAAGCTTTGGATCACCCTGGTGCGCCGGTCCCTGAAAACTCCCTAGGCCTAACTCCGAAAGACGGCAACGTCAGACCAGGCCCGTTTTCTCAACTGCATAATCCAGTCCACTTTCCCCGTCACACGTCAGTTTCCCACATCTCCTTTCCACCTTTTATATGCTGCTTCTCCCCCACCCGTACATACTTTAATCGCTGTACAATATCCACGTCGCTCCCTTTTTATTTTGCTGCCCGTCCCGGCGCAATGTACGTTAGCAGAACTGCCTCCCGGGCAGCGCCCGCAGTCTTCAGAGCAGGCATCAGGACCACCACCCGCACACATCGCCCCATGCTGCGCTCCTCGCCTGCAATTCGCATCCTCATTCCGCTTCGAGCCCTACAGACCGAGTCGACGTCATCCAACACTGCACAGAACTACCCACCCCCTGGCTTCGACCCCAAAAAAGCAAGCCAACCACTCTCCAGGCAGGATCAGGACAAGGCTCCCCAGCAAGCCAAACCCCAGCTCGAAAAAGACACCCTCATCCCCAAGTCTGGCCCAACCGCACACGCCAAGACTCCCGCTCAAGATGTCCAGACAATCAGGGAGCTGGGCGCAGACAAGGCAGCAGCCGAGACCAAGGAGGAGAAGAAGGTCATGCTGAAGAAGGACGAGGAGAAGAAGAAGCTTACTGTCTGGCAAAAAGTCAAGAAGGAGCTGGTTCATTACTGGGACGGTACCAAATTGCTTGGTTTCGAGATCAAGATTAGTTCCAAGCTTGCCTTGAAGATGGCTGCTGGTTACGAACTCACCAGACGAGAGCGTCGACAGGTATGTTTCCTTTTGCTGCTCAAGCCATCCAAATGCACAATGCTAACTTGACCTAGCTGCAACGCACAGTCCAGGATCTCGCCCGTTTGGTTCCCTTCCTGCCTTTCGTCATCGTGCCGTTCGCAGAGTTGCTTCTTCCCGTAGCGCTCAAGCTCTTCCCCAACATGCTTCCCAGCACATACGAGGGCCAATCAGCCAAGGATACCAAGGCCCAAACCCTCCGAGCAACCCGCAAGGACGTTAGCGACTTCCTTCGCCAGACTCTAAAGGAAACCGGTTTGCCAGTCTCTCTCGAAAATGCCCAGACAGCAGAGTTTGGCGAGTTCTTCCGAAAGGTGCGCACAACTGGCGAGAAGCCAACGCCAGAGGAAATCATCAAGGTCTGCAAGATCTTCAAGGATGACTTGACTCTTGACAACTTGTCTCGCCCACAGCTCGTCTCCATCTGCCGCTACATGAACATCACTTCCTTTGGTACCGACAACTTCCTGCGCTACCAAATCAGGGTTCGTATGCGCCAAATCAAGCGTGACGACAGGGCCATTGCCTACGAAGGCGTCGAGACCCTTTCGGTGCCCGAGCTTCAGACTGCGTGTGCAAGCCGTGGTATCCGAACGTACGGCGTTTCTCCTGGCAGGCTACGGGATGACCTGACAAGCTGGCTTGATCTCCGTCTTAAGCACGGCGTCCCTTCAACCCTCTTGGTGCTCTCCAATGCCTTTGTATACGCACAGGGCAAGGACGCAGAAATGACATCCCAGATTGATGCTCTGGAGGCTGTGCTTTCCAGCATCCCTGAAGAGCTCTACCACGAGGTTGACCTCGAGGTCCGGAACGCTGAAGGCGCCGCCACCAACAAGCAGCGTCTCGAAGTCCTCAAGGAACAGCAAGAACTCATCAACGAAGAGAACGAGCAGACTGAGACGGTCGAGAACAAGGCCACTGCCTCGCCCAAGGACCACGACGACATTGACGAGGCCGAAAAGCCCACAAAAGATGCTGAAGAGGCAAAGGAGGCCAAGGCCGCTGAAGAAAGCAAAGAAGCCGAAGCTAGCACCGGCGAGAGCGTGGGCGGCAGTGCTGAGCGCGCCGAACAAGATGACCGTGCGAGGAAAATGGACGAGCCTACCGGTAAGGCTGAGAAGCCTGCCGATGCCATTGCTGCAAAGAAGGAGTAAATATGAGACTTGATCATCTGTCTCCCTTCTCTACTCTGTTTTCCAAGTCACATAGCTACTCAAAAAGAAACTTTGCAAACATCATATGGTCTCTCTCCTTTTTTTCTTGTTGTTCTGGAATAGGGGTGGGAGGAAATGGGAAAGATTAGGTGCATATTAGAAAATACCCCCCCTTGTTTCCCCAATAGAAAGTGTAAAATTAGACGGAAAATTGTATATAACTACACGAAAACTTACTCAATTGTTACCGTTTTTTTTCTGCATGTGGCTAAGTGGGCTTGGCGGGGCGAGGTAGAACTAAGTGTGTACGTTGTACACGTAGTTCTGAAAGTGGGGTCTTGTAAACGATTGAGAGACGTGTTATGTGTTGTTGAGTAACCTGGAAGATGTGAAGCACGTGATCATTCGGACGTTGTATGAGTTGTGTTTGGAATGGCTGATTTGATTGAGGAAGCGACGGTGCTGTATTTCTGATGAGGGGATGAGATTTTGTTTGATCTGTGAGAGATGTGGAGAGAAAAAACCAAATTAAGATTCTTGTCATGACGACGGGGGTTGCTTTTGTGGTATGGAGGTGAAGTGGGTAAGTGGACTGAATTGTGTCTAAACGTGAAGTATGTAACTAGCCCCCCCCCTTCTTGGCGCTAGGTTCATGGGGGTTAGACAGTTAAGTCACTCATCACTTTCTTTACTGCAATGTTTGAGCTCATTTCAGACCCATAGCTGGAACCATCATGAAGAAAGTTCATTTGCTATTGTACACAAGTAGTCGCTCCGTGTGAGCCTATCATCAAACAACCTAGTGGTTTTTGCAATTCCCTTATCTGGGAGTATGAGACAGACATTCGAGAAGGCGAACAACGATCTCTTCCCTCAGCTGAATCATGTCATCTCTCAGCTCAATCATTTCCCAGAGTTTAGTCTCGCGTGTTCTTGCACGCTCTTCCTCCTCCTCGGCCCTTCCAAGCAGCGTCGAGAAGTTCTGCTTAAACATGTCATGTCTTTTTTGTAGACTCTGCATGGCCTGTCCATGCACCTTTGCCGCCTCCGTCTCCTTGTTGAGTATGTCTGTCATTCGCGTGTGATATGTGGGAATGATGTCGTCGCTGAATAGAGCTTCCTCGGCCAAGTTTTGAAGTGATGCCGGCGAATTGTTGGTTTCGGTCTGCCTCATGATGTCGCTCTGTCGCCGATTCGATATCCTGTGCCCCGACCAGAGGTGCTTGTCCTTGATTTCTTCGGGCCTTTGTAAGGAAGCCATGGCGTTGCGCAAGTTAGTACACAAGGACACTACATCCCTGTCGACCTGCTTGATAACTTTCTTTAGCGCCATGTTCTCAGCCATGACAGGTTCCGGTGGCGCTTTTTGCCCCATAGCACTTCGTTGAAGCTCCAGTTGCTTTTCCAGCGAAGCAACGTTTTCTTCGCATCTATGGTGTAGATCCGGTTCCGCAAGTTGAGCCCTGAGGTCATTTATCTCACGTGAGTATCCCCGACATTCTTGTTGGAGTGTTTCAATGGTCGTCCCATGAGCCGTACATTGCTTTTTCAGTTCATCGTTTTCTGCCTTGTATACTTTGCAGTCTTCTTTCAGTCTTTCGATCGTTATTTGATGGATTTCATAGTGCTCCCGCAGAGCAGTTGTTGTGCCTTGTTGAACCCTATACTTCTCCTGAAGCTCTCCGAGTTGCTTTTCGACGCTTTCTAATGTTTCTGAGCGTTCCTTGTGCTCATCTAACTTACGCCTCAAGTAGGCAATGATACTGTCACAGTCGTGACGACTCAATCGATCCACCTCCTCTTCGAGACGCGTAATCCGGTCTGCTTGTTCTTGGCAATCAATTTGATTCTCCTCCCATGTATCCACTTGATCTTCAAGGCCATCGATGTCGGCCTGTTGCTTCGTTTCATTGTCTCGTAGAACGCCAAGCTCTGCTTCGAGGCTATCCATAGTAATATCTGCCGAATCTGTGGGAATGTCAGCAGGTCTCATGCTTTCTATAGGCGTTACTTACCTTCGGCTTATCGTCTTCCTGCAGCCTTTGCGTGCTCGACTAATTCCAGGACGGTCTCGCCCTCTCTGACCAGGGTATCCGGTTTCTTCGTCGTTTCCAGGACTTCTTCTCGGGTCCTCAAACACTGCTGTTGAGCAGCTCGTGCAAGCTTTAGGCTGGCCTCATGATCATTATCATGAATCTCGTCCTCATTATCAGAGGAGTTTCTTATGTCGAAGGACGTGGCAGATGCTGTGTTTTGATGCTTGTTCACCATGCTAAAGCCGTGGTGTGGGGTATGTGATAGGTAGGGTGCGTAGTAAGAAGAGGTGGGGGAAAATTATTGCCTTGGTTGTGCGTCTGTTTGGCGCCAAGCCTTAAGGGTCTTTCACCGTGAAAGCGTTGAGTGAGCGGCGCTGTTGTCATAGCTTCGACTATTCCCGAAGACAACGGCTCTATACCTTCCCTTTAAAGCTTCAGCATAAGGCTGGTCTGTCGTATATGGCGGAGAATCCTCGCGGACACGTCTCTTTAATCGACATTGACTTGAATGGTGTCGGGAACACTCGAAGTGACAGACATGCGCTCATCCCAATGTAGTCTCAAGTTACGCGCAATCTTGACCTTTGAGATGCTTCGTCACTTTGTGAGGCTACAAACTGGCAAATCTATTCTGGCAATAATACAAGACATGTTCATCAGGTGGCTCACAATTCATCCACACTTACTCACACCGCACACTTCTGCCTTTCTTTAAGATACCAGCAGTATCTAGCAAAAGTAGGTGTGACTATCTCAGAGCCCTGTATCTATCCAGCTACTGTTAATTCCCTTAAAATTGCTAAAAGTCTTCACATCCAATTGCTTAATGGTCACTATTGTTTATGCCCAGGTGAGAGAGCATCTCAATCTTCCTCCATACTATGAAGCTTAATTATATAGTCATCTACAATCCACCAGCCCATCCAAAATCCTTCTCACGTTCTCTCATTTACTCCTCTTCCTTTTCATCATCCCCATTCCTCATCAGATACGCTTGCACCATCTCCGCCATTTCTTTCATGTCCTCTTCAATTATTCCAACATTCTGCTTTGCCATGAGTAGAAGAGCATCGAGTTCCTTTTTCTTGAGAACGCCCCTGTCCGCATTTCCGGAAGCTACAGCCTGTGCTGCATTGAGTTGTGCATTAAGGTTAGCCACCTCAGCATGTTGCACCGTACCCGATCTTGATCTGGAGAAGACACGTGAGAGAGAACTACGCCTTTCTTCACGCTTTCGTTGAATGTCAAGTAATGTGCGCCAGACCTCCCATTCGCGATCTCGACATTGGCTCAGAATCCTGGTACTGAAATCTACAGTTCGCCTCAGCTCACTGATTTCATTTCTGAGCTGCGATATGTCGACATCCAGATCATCAATCTCGCGGTCCTTTTGCTGGAGATATATGCTGAGTTGCGGCACGAGGTTGTCCTCTAGTCCGGTAATGCAGTCTTGGAGCCCATAGACCGTGGCGGTGAGTTTCTTGATAAGCTGTGCATGTGTCTCGAGTCCAGATTGCGATAAAGTACCTACAGGCGCTGTCTCATGGACTATCTGATAGTGTAGCTCGAGTTCTGGCGATGTGAGGAGGGAACGGAGCAACGCAGATACCTGTTCTGATACTAGATTGGGGGGAAACGGAGAGCGCGGACGAGGGTCAGGGATAGTATTGCTGGAGCTACTAGAGCTTGATGATGGGTAATATCCTGGCGGAACACCATTCGTCAATGCAACATGTTCTCTACCCTGCCCTCCTTGTAAAGGCCAGTTCGAAGGAAATGGGTCACGATAGAGTGTGTCATTTGAGCTTTCATGACTATGGTGCTCAGAGTGAACACCATTTGGCAACAACTCTTCTTGTCGCTGCTCTTTCTCCTGGGGTGATCGTGCTCGAGGTGTCCGTGCCGCATCAATGCGGGCATAAAATGCACTTGCAGCGATTGGGTAGCTGAAATTGGGTACAAGACCGATGTCCGCAGGGGTAAGAAGAGGCGTCTCTTGGTATTCTGATCTTTGAATAGTAGAGCTACACTGCGTCCTTTCCCTAACCGAAGCTCTCGTCGCAGGGTCGACTCCCCAGTGGGACAGAATACTCTTCAATGCTGATTTCCATGTCAGTGATTGCGTCGGTTCAGGTTGGATCGATGGGATATCGAGCGGTTTTACTGGGATACTTGTCGGAATCGGCGGTACAGGACATCCCAACTGAGCTTCTGAACGAGCATGAATGTTATGGGACCACAAAGGGACCTGTGGTTCGGTCACAACTGTTGGTTTTGATAAGATCGGGGCATTCGAAGCGGCAAGATCCTCATCAGACTGCTTACGGTCATCGTTATTATATATGTGGTAGGGATTATCTAATGGGAAGTCCATGAACCTGTCCCACTCCTGTGTGCCGGGTGTGATCGGTCCTCGAGGCGGCGATGGCGCTCTCTGGGGCGGTACGTTACTCGAAGGCTTAGCACGCGCTGGTGTGAGATTGATGCTATTTCGTCCTTCCCATTCTTTTTGATCCTTTTCATTCCTCAAAGTGGCCATCCATTCGCTAGGCACGGGTTGTGCCGAGGGACCCTTATCATTGTTACCATTTGGACGCTGAGTTGGGGTCTTGTGAGTCTCTTGCCTCAGCTCCCCATCAGGTGGGCCAGCATATTTGGGCTCTGAATCCGCTGCTAGCATGACACTGTTGAAATATAGTTGATCTTTTGGATATAAACACCCCCTGTAGGGGCCTCTGTCGATGATCACGGGAAGGCTGTCTGAAGAATTGCTTCCTCTTGGCCCCACCCGACCATCGTCCAGATCATTTTCAATCCTGTCCAATATTCTTTGCTTCTCCTTCTCCTGTTGCCCCCGAAGCTGCTCGGGCGTAAGAGGGGGCTCTGCAATCGTATAATAGTGGATAGGGCGCCGGAATGGATGTGCTAGTCGCTGACAGAGTGTTGTCATTTCTTCTGCTATGGCGAAAAACAACTTGGTGTTACGGATGCTGGAAGCTTTGAACTGGCTAGAAGTATGAATCTAGGTGTTTGACAAGAATCCATGATGCGTTGTTTGACATTGCCCTGTGGTCAATTGTGAACAAGCGCCGTTTGTGCCTGCGCTGGCACAGAATTCTGCTTCCAAAGACAATCGCGTGGACGTGATTGACCACGGAAGCGTTTGAACCCATTCACGTTGATGTGTCACAACATGGGAGCCGTAAAGCAAAGAGAAATGAACATTCGAAGACCATTAATAAGCACTAAGAGCACTTGCAGGTAAGAAGTGATGTCGAACCGAAACTGCAGGTTGTATTACCAACTGTTATCGCTTGCAAATATAAACTATGTGTAGTCTCTTCATCTGAGCCACGTACTATGAAGACAGGATCGTTGTTCGGGGTATGTAACAATCGTGAATGCGCCATGGTAAAAGAGATCCGCTCCATGGCTATGCAATCGCAACAATGCAGGTAAAACGCCCCCATGCCGTGGAATCGTGAACCGTAACGCCGAAGATCCTTAATATTTTCTTTTTGCTTTGGCTGCCATCGCTGCCAGCTTCTTCTTTCGCTCCTCTTTCTCCTTCTTGAGCCTGTTCTCTTCTGCCAAAGCCTCAGCATCCTCCTTCTTGGCAGCCTTGAGTGCCAACTGCTCTTCCTCTTCCACATCCCATATGCCCCCTTCCATGGCCGAAGAGCCGTCGGAGTCATAGTCCTCTTCTTCGTCGTCTTCCATGTCGTCAAGGTCATCCCAGTCTGCATATCCGTCATAGCGGCCCTTGGTTGGGTTGGGTTTGGGTTTCGCAGCTGGCGTGCCGTTGCGGCTCGACGTTACAGGTGCACTAGAGGGACGAGCGGTGCCTTTGTAGCCAACTTCAACAGGCTTCCGAGCCGGCCGTGCAGTGCCTTGATAGCCGACGTCGACCTTCTTCTTCTCTTTGGAGGGATCCGCCTTGGGATCTGCCTTGGGATCCGCAGGCTTTGACAGCAGTCCAGCAACAGGCTTCTTGCCTTTTACTCCTGCTTCTGCCTTGAGCGCCAGCCGTTCCTTCCGCGTCAAGATTTTTGTAGGCTCATGTTTGATCGGCGGTGCTACGGGTTTGCTGGCATCCTTCTCTTTGGCCTTCTGGAGCATGGCCAGATATCCTTTCTTAGGTGCGGCATTCGAGGCGGAAGCGGGGGCGGGGCCGGTGGCTGCCGGAGCAGGCTTAGGAGCAGGCGCCGGGGCCTTTGTTGTAGCAGCGGGTGCGTTTGATGACTGGAGAGGCTTTCGAACAGGTGGGTTTGCTGTTTTCGAAGACGAGGGCGCAGCGGTTCCACGGTAAGGGACAGACGTGATAGGCGTAGACGAAGAAGGTCTGGACGTGGCAGGTGACGACGTGGCACGAACCGCGCCATTTGCCTGTGCTATTCCGCCAACCGCCTCTTTTCTCTGCACCTTTGTCTGTCCATTCTCAACGGGACCCGATGCCTTTCGCTTCAACTGGGGTGCTTGGGATGCGCCGTTCGCCCCTCCAACCGGTCGCGACGCTGGTTTAGGGGCAGTGCCAAGCGGACCTTGCTTTGATGCTGTTGCTGCGGCCCTCGCGCTCGGGTCGATTATCGACATAATGTCTTTGAGTGACTGGAAGACACGGTCAGTACACGGGTGGTGTCCCGGGCAGTCTGTTGCAGCTCACGCTCATGGTAGGCAACTGATAAGCGTTTGACTCAGTGTTACCGCTCGTCGATTCGATTGGAGGGCAAGTTGTACATGCTTTCCTAGTAAAAATCGCCGGTAGTGATAGTCGGCGGAGGGTGGTCGCGCGCGCAGAGAGAAGGCGAGGCGCACGGGACCGGTGGATTAGAATGGACGGCCAGAGAATGAGCGGACAGCGACGGCGCAGACGGGCCTGTTTTATACCTTGGCTTTGCGCCTAGTCAGCCTTCACGTGATGATACGGTCATCTTACGCTAGTCCGACTGCGGAATGGCTTGGGTAGCGAGATCCCACCTTGAGTCAATATTCTAGGACCAGGAACTTTTTCTTTTCGACAACCACAGCGAGAACTTGTAGATTCAGTCTCCGGCCACAAGCGGTGCGTACTTACTGTTGTTTACGCTCAGCGACATAATACTGACAGGCGCAGGTTAAATCGATTGAACTCCTGTTCCTTTCCACCGAAACCACCAATTTACCATCACAATGAAGCACCTCGCTGCATACCTCCTCCTCGGCCTTGGTGGTAACACCTCGCCTTCCGCCGAAGATGTCAAGGTATGGTGGCTTACGAAGCCTTTTTTCAATTGGAATTCTAATGGAATTTAGTCCGTCCTCAGCGCCGTTGGTATTGAGGCCGATGACGAGCGCCTCAACAAGCTGATCTCCGAGCTTGAGGGCAAGGACATCAACGAGCTCATCGCCTCTGGATCCGAGAAGCTCGCTTCCGTTCCCTCTGGTGGCTCCGGTGGTGGCGCTGCTGCCGCTGCTGGTGGTGCTGCCGCTGGCGGTGCCGCTGCCGCCGAGGAGGCTCCCGCCGCCAAGGAGGAGGAGAAGGAGGAGTCTGACGAGGACATGGGTTTCGGTCTCTTCGACTAAGCGTGTCGCCAATCCATCTCTGTTTACGATGTATGATCTGGCCAATTTCTCAAAAATCACGAGAATCATGCGCAACGAGTCCGAGCATTTGGGGCGTGTCGAGCGCGCGATGGATGGGATATGGAGAAAGATTGTGCGGCAATGCTTTCATAGCTGCCTGCTGAGATACCCACAATGAAGCCATGCACCCTCAATTTATGTCGACATTGTGACTTCCTTCAATGTGACCATGTGTCTGTGCATCTTACACTAATGTATACCTTGAGAGTGAGAGTTGAAGTTGTAAATGTTTACTATTCAAGTGTTCAATTCTACAAATAGATTAGAATGTGAGTAACATAGTGCCTGAAGACGATCTGACTGCTGAAGTGATCTCGGGCAGTCACTTTTGACTAGTTCAAATATTGTCTTTGATGAAAGCTGCAGCGCTGGTTATAGCCCACCTTTTGGAGAGCAAGATCTTGTTTGCATGATTGGCACACGATACTGCCTCGCAAAATTACGCGACAATTCGGTCAAGGTTTACTATTCGTTGCAAGTGTGAACATAGTGATGTTGGTGTTGGTCCAGCTGCGCATGGACGTAGTGGCACGCTAACGGCTCGCTTAAGCGAGGCAGGCAACACCTCGAAATTCCCTTTGCCCATCGATAATTGAACGACCGACAACCCACGACCCAACGAAGTTCCCCCCATCAGCTACTTCGACAACCGCAAACATGGCTGACGCTGACTACGATCCCGAGGCCGCAGCTGGTACGCATTCCTGTCCCATTCCCAAGCCTCTCCCCCGCATCCGCAGCGACAGATGGGCATATTGATGGCAGAACATGGCTAACGAGATGAACAGCCCTCAAGGCCAAGAGGGCGTTCCGCAAGTTCTCCTACCGCGGTGTCGACCTTGACCAGTACGTTTCCGATTCCCTCGATACTCCCCTACGCTGGGGATCGACATAAATGATAGCGGTATTCTGATTGCGATGCAGGCTCCTCGACCTCGGCTCTGAGGAGCTCCGTGACCTCGTCCACGCCCGCGCCCGCCGCAGGTTCAACCGCGGTCTCAAGCGCAAGCCCATGGGTCTCATCAAGAAGCTTAGGAAGTCCAAGCGTAAGGAGCACAGTCGGCTTGATGGACAGGAGAAGATGGCTAACGTTGCGCAGAGGAGGCCCGCCCCAACGAGAAGCCCGACCTCGTCAAGACCCACCTCCGTGACATGATCGTTGTCCCCGAGATGATTGGCAGCGTTATCGGTGTCTACTCCGGAAAGGAGTTCAACCAGGTCGAAATCAAGCCCGAGATGGTCGGCCACTACCTCGCAGAGTTCTCCATTTCATACAGGCCAGTCAAGCACGGAAGGCCCGGTATTGGTGCCACTCACTCTTCCCGTTTCATTCCTCTCAAGTAAACGACTGGGTTATGGTTGCATGGGTTCTTTAGTGGGGCGGACAATGTACATGACGACCTACAACGAATACAGGTGTTAGGTGCATTTACTCTCGATGGCTATGACGTACACAAAAAGACGACGGCGAGCATGAGGATATGGTGTAGATTACCATCCATCAGATTCGAGATACCTCCACATATGTTCTTTTGTACAAGATGTGTGACATGAGTTGTGAATGATGATTTTGACGACTTTTACGGTCTACTTTCAAGTGCAAACTGGAAAACGAAATGATGAATTGCGAAAATAATCAAATTGGGTATTCTATTATGCACAAAGGGACTCGAAAACCATATCCACCCGCTATCTTCCGAGGCGCATCTCGACCTTAGCGAAATTGTACAGGGCTCGGAGGAAGACTTGATAGTTGACGCCCTTGTTGTCTGGCAAGTGACTGGGAGGAAATGTTAGTGCTGTTCTCACACAAAAGCGACAAGCGAATTAGCTTACAAGATCTCGGTCAACCTCAGCTGCCATGGTGGGTAGCCCTTCAATTGAACGGTTGGACTGAACAGGATCAGCAGATCTGGCTCGCTGGAGACGTGGTCGTTTAGCTGTGCATCGATCAAATCCATGTTGATCTGCTCTTGTCGCACGTCACCCTTTTGCGCCATTTCGGCCAGGGTGCGAGTCAAATCAACAATGGTATCTCGGCCATCATGCTCCGACAAGAGGAGTACAGTGAGATGCTGGCGTTCTTCCTTGAGGTTTGGATCATTTGGCTCAGCCGACTGAGGGGGCGTGTCGGGTGGTGAGTAGGAGCTCAGATGTGGTGCGCGGAGGGAGAGGGTGGGCTTGCGTTGTGGGCCAAAGTAAGCTTCGAGCGTGTTCCAGATACTGGCGTGGGTTTGGGGCAGGTAGTTCTTGAGGACGCCTGTTTCGCTGTTAGCACTTGAACAGCCTCTTTACAAGTATCTGTGGGTTTTGCTAGCTTACCAGTTCGCTCGTAGATACTGAGAAAAGGAATTCCAGCACTTGCTGCCCAAGCCGCTATCTCGCAGACATCGTTTACGAGACCTTCCAGACCAGCGTTTCCCTGACTTCCATCATCCTCTTGGTATTCCACAATCACACTCAGGTGCTTTGGTAGCTTCTCCAGGTCCTTCACGTCGTGCGCTATGAACTCTGGCGTTCGATGATGATATTTCAGGAGCGAGATGACTTTTCCCCGTACAAGCCGGTAGGCACGCCGAAAGCGGAAGAAGATGCTGAAGAGTAGAGCGACAACATGGTAGACGGTGAGGTGGAGTAGTGCTTTGAACGGGCCGATGAGAGGTTTGCGGTGATGTTGTTGGGATGCGCGTTGACGGCGTTCACGGAGGGCCTTCTTCTTTTGCGCCTGCGTATCACTATCCGAAATGTCGGTAGGAAGAAAAGGCTTGAGCAGTTCCTCGCGTTCCTGGACAGAAAGCTCCTTGCGCCGGAAAGCCGACTCCTGTTTGGATGATAGACCGGTGACAGCAGCCATTGCGGACGACGTGCTGAGCAAAGGGGTACAGGACGAGCCGGACTGTCGATGGCTACACACGTGAAATCAGGACAAAAGCTGATAAGTATAAAAAAGAAGAGTCAATGCTCGCGTTAACTGGCCATGGTTGGGGGGTGGGCAGATGTATGATACATGAAATATCCCTGTGAGGCTGGTGCATGTGCATACGTGTGGCGCCGTCTCTTCCGAGCGTCAGCCAAGGCGTATACGCGCATGTTGCCGTGCTCCGCCCTGCGCAGTGGCGCTATTACGCGGAAGCTTTCGCAAGTGATGTGAGGCTGTTCAGCAATTGCGGCTCTAATTTAGGCATCTGTGTACAACAGTCGAAGGGTGCAATGGCATCATAGCGCATGGGGTTGCCCGTGGTTTGATTCGGCGGGCGCTTCTGCAATGCGCCAGGGACCGAGGCGTGGGGTGCGACAAGCCACAGTCGCGACTTCACTCGTCTCTACTACTACCAGGTGCACATACACCCTGGACCGGGAATGCTTTCTCACGATTATCGCAAGCACCATCCCAAGACATGATCTGGTAGAAGCCTTGTGCAGCTTGATGCTTTGCGACAGTACCAGCAACCTCAGCCCCAAGCCAGTTCAGGCGGCATTGGCTCGCTGGGTAGCAACGATACACACACCTGCTTTACATACCACTTGAATGATACCTAGCCTTGAACTCCGGCCTGTGCCTTGCTCACAATCATGCAACGCGTCAGCTCCGATAGCGCTTCTATACTCACCCACCAGACCTCGAGGACTTCCATACGCATACCGCAGTTCACCCTAGAAAAGTTCGCCGTAAGCTGCCACCCAGCACTTTGGTCTTTCTTGTACTGACTCACGCAGAGCAAAGACTTTCTAGTCAAGGATTTTATCGAAGACCTTTCTCAGGCCGCTGTACCTGCGACACGACGATCCGGGGGCGCTGGCGGGCAGCAGACGTTCGACCCAAAGCCGCTTATCCGAACCTTTGAACATGCCCTGAGGAGCCTCAACAGTCTATCCGAGGACCTCGAGGAGAAGGAGACAGACCTCTCTGGAGCCGTCCGGCGGGCAGAACTCCAACACAACCAAAATGTCGAGTCCCTAGGGAGGCGGCTGGAACAGGCCATGGATAGATTTCAGAGGCTGGACAACTCGCTGAACGGAAACGATGATGGAGGATCAGACACGGGTGGCAACGTTGCCATGCGCATAGGCGAGCGACTCGAAGAGCTCGATCGCCAGCGGAAGAGGGCTCTCGATGCAAAGTTCCTGATTGAGTGCTGGCAGGAGGTCAGCGAACGAGGCGAACTCATGATTCTAGAAGACCAGCGGAAGAACGGTGATATCGTACGATGTGCTGAAATCGCGCGCCAGCTTCTGCGCATCAGCACACGCCTTGATCCAGACGGCAGTCAACGAGTCAACGGCGATGTACCAAATGGGATGAAGCGCAGGACGACACACCAGCCGAGACACAACACCAAGGAGGTCATTGAGAAATTCCTTGAGAACTTGGAGCAGGACCTTCTCAGCAAGTTCCAGGAATGCTACGCGCGTCCCAACTACCCTGGGATGCGTGACTGCGCCATTGCTCTCAAAGGCTTTAATGATGGTGCCAGTGTCATCGGGACTTATGTCAACCAACATTCGTTCTTCATCGACCGCATGCAGTTAAGCGGTGAGGATCTTGGTACAGATTTGGAGACATGGGATCGCCTCCAAGATCCTGATGCTGAACCGCCTGGCGTGGAACCGACGCTTCAGTCTTTGATTGACGAAGTCAAGATTGTCGTCCAGGAAGAATCCGCTATTATCAAGCGAGCGTTCCCATACTATGAAGAAGTCCTCATCAAATTCCTGGAACGCATATTTCAGCAGTCTATCCAGTCCAGGCTTGAGATGGTGCTCGACAAAGCTGGAGATCTTTCGTCGCTTGCTTTCCTGCGTTCGCTGCAGGCTTCAAGAAGTTACATCACCCAGCTCGTGGAAGATCTCAAGACACACGGTTTAACAGAGCATCCTGAGCCTGCTACGTCAGCGGTTGCGGCTACGCTCGACCAACAGCTGGAGGAATTATTCTCCTCATACTTTATCGGTGAGAAGTACATTGAGCGAGAGAAGAAAAACCTCGAGGAGCTGTACTCTTCGTTGCTTCTCAAATTCACCATCTACCACTCGCGGCGAAGCAAGATGCCTACCTCATACTTTGGTTCGCTCGCGCAAAGAGGCAAGGAGCTGGCCGCATCCGCTCGTGACAAGTACATGGAGCGTCTGGAAAGCACTGAGCTACCGGCTAGTCAGAAAGCGACTCTTCTTCGTATCGCTGGACTGAAAGAAGACCAACAAGAGAAGAAGGATATCGAGGTCACTGACGAGGATGGCCGGCTGTCACTGCCAGTAGCCAAGCGAATGCTCAAGTGGCTGGCAGAAGGTGTTGGACGCGGGCTGGAGTTGTCGCCTGGCAACGAGACACCAAAGGACGTGCAGATATTGCTCAACTTGCTCCTGCGGCAGATGGGTGAGATGTACTTGGAGACAGCCCTGGACGCGTAAGTATCATCTCTATTATGATTGAGCCTGTCAACTAACATCAATGCAGCGCACAAGACCACGCAGCATCACAAGAAAACTCCAAGACACCACCAGATCTTACCCATCTCCCCTCTCTGCACACCATTACCACAATGCTGCATCTCCTACAACAAACAACTACTACAATTCTCCTGCCTTTGTGCACCCCCAACCTTACCATCCGTCGCGAAATTGAAAAGTCTATTAATCTGACAATGACCACGCTCGAGGCGAAGCTCTCCAATATCCTGAATCTTACGATAACTGCCTCGCTGAACTGGGTCAGCAAATGTCTTGCCCAACAAAAGAAAACAGACTTTCGGCCAAAGGAGGAGGACCTTATGGTAACAAGCGAAACCCAAGCCTGCCGGGAGGTCTCCGCGTTCCTTACACGTGTTGCATCTCAGGCCACCTCCGCCCTGTCTGGCCGCAACCTCTCGCTCTTCCTTGCTGAGCTAGCGCGTGGCCTCCGCTCCCTCGTCCTAGCACACCTGTTGAAATTCTCCATTTCACAAGTCGGTGGTCTAAGTGTATCGAAGGATATGAACCAGTATGTTGAGTTGGTGCGAGCATGGCCGACGGGTGATGAGCTGGAGCCTGGTGCTATGGATGTCTTGACAGATGTTAGCACGTTGTTTATCATTGGGCCAGAGGCACTCAGGGACCGTTTGAGGGCTGCAGGTGGACAGGATGCGCAGGAATTGAAGGGTTTCATTGCTAGAAGAGACGATGTGGGGACTGTTGGTGTGCAGAGTGTGCTCAATGGAGTATAGGGTATTAAGAAATGTACTTCGTGTCTATACAGTAATAGCATATTCAAGCTTGCTACGTATCTCAGCGCGCTATCCATGTTGCTTTACGATGTTGTCTGTGAATACGTAGGACTTTGTGGCCTGTATACAGACTGTCTGAGCCTTGTCGTGTTCACTGAGCGTTTTGTCTCCTGGTTGTTTTAGTGGGCATAGATGTGGAATTGTTTAGCAATGTCTCTTTTGTCCCCTGATTAGTCAACTAAATAGAAAATCCCAATGAACTTTGGGAACTGTGCCTTGACCAAACTAATTGCTGTCTACATGTAATCGAGTTGCATGATCGATTTGGGATTTATTGATGGAACGCTGAGCTTCAGGCATCGCTTGAACCCCACCCCACGCACTTTCCGTCAGTCTGGCTCTGATGTCAGAACTGGTGATGGAAAGAACACCCGGCAAGCTCTCGACGCATGATGGTCGGTCACGACACTTTCTACACATGCACAAGTCGACAGGGCCATAGGAACTAGTCCACGGTAGTGAAATCCCAAAGCCAATGCTTTCGATGATCCTCCGGTTAGCTCCAATGCCAAAGACCTTCTCATCACTCTCATAAGATTATGCAACGCCAGCCCCATTTCCGATGATGCCTTCAGCGGTCTTCTCAGTAATATCCTTACCACGTACCACAATGCCGGCTGTACTCCCCACACGATCCACACCCACAAAGAGCAAGTGTCAATGTCAATTTTGTTGAGAAGTCAAGAACAACAGCGGTGCTTCATGTCTTCAATGCGTGGTACGCAAGACCAATAGCAGTTCCTCTACATCTACCAAAGATAATGGTTTCTCGGTGAGCACTGCGTGGGGCCGAGAGCGTGTGTGGCTCTAACCCTATTCCTTCTTCGGATCACACGAAGTCAGGATATTTTTTGATGCCTTCAGATTGCTGAACAGGCCAAAAGTGCTTTCTTTTGTATACCACGCAGTGGAGAGACCATGAAGCTTATACATACGGTAGTGTCTCATCGACCTTGAGCTTCATGGGATACAGTTAGGTGCTAGTATCATCCCTGGAGGTCCTTCTAGATCCTAAGTATACAGAAATGGAAAGTGATATGTCCTAAACCCAAAATTCTCGACCCGGTATCCGTATCGTCAGTAGATGATCGATAATTTCCTTCGTCAGCTTCCACTTTCACTAGTTTCCGTATCATTGGTTCCATCGATCCTTTTCCTAGTGAGCAGTGAGAAGCAACAAACGTACAGTCCGTGCGTATATAATAATAATAATAGCAAACCAGTCTCGCTCCGTCACCACAATCATGGATGAAGTCGACCAAAACCTCACCTGGGAGGAGCTCAATGCGTTTGGCGAAGACCGAGAACGACTCAGAGAGGAGATGGAAAACACAATTTCTCGACATGATGAGAGCTTTGCGGCTCTGAAACAAACCACACAGGTTGCTTTAGACAGCTTGAAAGCGACCGGGGAGGAAGACAAAGAACTCAAGAGACGTATGGATGCCTATCTGCAGTCTACGGAAGCGGATAGGTATGAAGATATTGTGGACCCAATACCTAATAAAGACGATACCCTGGTGAAGCAATTGTTCGCCACTGTGTCTCAGTGCTTGGACGATGTCCGTCAGGAGCGGGACGAAAGTCCGCCATCAACTCCTCTTGGAGATGCTTCGCTCAGGACTCGAGAGTAAGTCGCTCCTACAAGAGAAGCTAGCTCGCAGAATCTAACCCGCGCAAGCAGTGAGTCGTCAACAAGTTCTCCGAAACGTCCAGCTCTCGCCGCGCTGCTTAACAACTCCAAGCGTAGTCGATCATTTACGCTTGATCATAGGCAGACCATTGTCTCTCAGCAAGACAGCAACCAGACAGTCGCTCCTAGTCAAGGCAATCGGTCTGGATCGCCAGTTTCTCGTCGTGGTCCGACGAGACAGTCTGGCACTCTTCAACAGTCAGTTTTGCCATCTTCGCCAAGCGTGCCGCGCATGCTGCAGTCAACCACGGCGGTCCCTTTTTCTTCATACCCTGAACGCCTTTCTTCTACGTCAGGGGGTGCCTCGGACTTCACTCGTCGATTCCAGGAAACTGGACGCTCCAATCACGATACCGCATTAATGCCGCCGCCCATGCTACCACGGCGCAGTCTTATCCAACTGGATACCAACTCCAGTAGACTACAAGGTTCCTCTTCAAACTAAAGGAGCCAGTATAATTCGTTGTCGCCAAGGAATACCGCAGAGCCACGAGCCTATGAGGGTTATGGAAAGAGCGGGACAGCTCGGGAGGATACACTCGATGAGAACAATAGTTCGAGACGATCCGGATCCCAAGAGGGAGTGCAGCTACCTCGGGCGATTGGCTTGACTAACAGTGAGATTGACTTTGGTTATTTCCCTTCCCGACGATTTTCATCCATGACATCATCCCCAGGCGGAGTACCACCAGAGGTGAAAACAGAATCAATGGACATCAGTCAAATGGCCGCTAAGCAGGCCCGGTACATATCGAATGCTTCGGTGCCCATAGAGGGCGGAGGGCAAGAGCCCGGGTGGAGGAAACAGCCCAAGATGGACGAACATCTTGTGTCGGCCCTCCTTTTCCAGTTCTACAACTCCTTCTCGGATGACACGGCCAAAGTGAAACGGTGGAAGGGCTATCCTGCAGAGGAGCACTTATGTATTTTGAGCTACGTCGTGGGTAGAGGGAAAAACAAATCCAAGTAGAACGGGGCGATGTGGGTTTGTAACAGATGTCTCAAAGCGAAGCGACCATGTGTCAAGATTGTCGAGATTGACGAAGTTGAAACGCTGTGCTTTCACGCGTTCTCAAAAGATGATCGGGGTGAGGCCGCAGACTGGCGGCAGGTGGATATGTACATTCAAAGATTAGGATGGGGTTTTCCATCCTGGCACTGTATTCACGTGCGTGAGGTGAAGAGATGGGGGGGAAAAACTCAACAATGTCGAGATGCCTTCAATTTCTCAAGTGTTTCTACAAAATTAAGCCAAGTAGTCAGACAAAGAAGGAATTTGAACCCCCCTGCCAAATTGACCACGGTGGAACTGATACTATATACATTGAACAGCCTATTAGAAAATGTACCACTCAATCAATCGCCACGATTACAGCAGCATGCCCGCAGCAGACGACAAGGCCATGAGGCCAAACACCACCAAACCAGCCTTGGACGCCGCACCCTGCCCACCCGCAACCGTGTTCGCCGCACCCTGGGCCGCCGCCGCCGTAGGCCTTGCGCTGACGACCGTCGTATCCGCCTTGGTAGCGCTCGCACTGCTCGAACTCTTACTCTCACCCGAACCCGAACTCTTCGGCTCGCCCCTCTGATCCTCAGGCGGACTACACACGACAATCTTGTTCCTCTTACTCAGACACTCGCCAATCTCGAGGAAACTGCGCTGTTCGTTTGCATAGCAAATGGAGGTGCAGGGCAGAGTGGCGCCGGTTGCGGTCATTTTGCCCGTGTTGCAACAGTCGTACATGTCCCAGAAGGAGTGGTCGTTGACGGATTCCACGTTGCTGATTGCGCAGCTGCCGAACTTGCCGTCGGGGCGGATATAGGGCACGTCGGGGTCAGACGAGGGGGCGTTGGATGGAGCGGGGCAGGCGCTGGATGGGAGGCCGCCCCATGGGAACATGGAGGGTATGGCCGTTGGCGTTGTGAAGGGCTCCGGTGACGCATTAGTGAATGTGGTGTATGAATAGGGATAGGTTGTGGTTGGCGCCGAGGTAGTCATGGAGGAAGACATGGCTGCGGTTGGCGACAACGGCAAGGTGTGGCTGTTGTTGAGATTGATATTGTGGCGCAGGCGCGTCGATTACAAGGCTGAATGTGTAGTAGAAAAAGAAAGAGTGGATGCGCGCTGGGGTAGAAGGGTCGATATATGACAGGCGTGCACGTTGACAGGGCTGAAAGGGGTAGTGGTATGAACTGGAAATAGCAGCGTCAGCGGTAAAGTACGGAGACACCCCTCGTGTTACTACGCCCAATATGTGAGATATGTTTGAACACGCGGCATCCAAATGGGGAAGAATACGAACCAAGGGGGCTAGCGAATCGAGCTCCCAACGCGTGCAGACTGGTTGCGCAAACACGAGGACCAGGGAACATGGGGCTGGGGCCTAAAGGGAAAAACGGCGCGCCAAAGGAAGCTAGCCGGATGCTGATTTATCGAATTGCAAAGCTTAGTTGGGTGGCGTCAAGGCTTTGCCTGCGTAAGCATTTATAAGTATAGCAACAGCGGAAACTTGCACTACGCAAAAGGCTCGTATGCTGTTCACTTATCCAGAGGCATGAGCTAGAGTGGTAAAAGAAAGTGGATCCGTGGTTCAACCTGCAGTGACATGGGTTTGCGGATACGCGCTATGGCTCGGTTAATGTCTTGGCAACAGGGCTACTCCACCCTGCCCTACCCATCGACTGTATCCTTTAGTTCAAGTGTACAGTTGGTTTTCTACACATAAACGTGTAGGTATGTAGTGTTTGTATATCCAAAGTCACACAGGTCCCTCTGCGATTCGATAAAAAGCTCAAACCATTTCACGTAATACGGATAAACCCATCCAGCTCAAACCTTATTTTCTACAAGGACTACCCTAACTTTATCAGCCACACAGCAATCTATGTTAGTTTCAGAGACGTCTTCAGGAACTGGTAATGTCGAAATAGAAAGATTGGTATTCATCTTTGGTATCATAGCTACTATCTAAACAACATATTATCGTCATGCTAACATTACCATCTCCCGAGGCCATCTATGCCTTTTCATCAATATCTATTGTGTGCTGACCGTTCACACTGCTCTTGCGCATAGCCGGGTCCTTGTCCATGTCCTGGTCAAGCTGGTTCATCTCGTCTTCAGTGTCGTTGAGGTGGTGGAAGATGATCCAAATCAAGGCACCTGCAATGACGGCAGCAATGGCGAGACCAGCAAACACCCACATAATAGCGGGGTCGTATAGGAGCGGGTTCAGCGCCTCGGAGATGGCGGAACCGAAAGCGTTGGTAAGGAGGTACATGGACTGAACGAATGACTTCATGCCAGGGGGCGCTTTGGTGTAAGCATATTCAAGACCAGTGACTGAGGCGAAAATCTCAGAGAGACCGATGAGAATGTAGGCACCAGTCTGGGCTGCAATGTGAATGTTGTTTCCCTGGTGTACGCCGTCTACGAGATCGGCATCGCAAAGGGTAGGCTTGCCGTAGCAGGGGCCGGCTTGGTAGATGTAGTATTGGATGACGCAAGCGTAAACCATGGCCAAAGCAGCGATCCAGAAACCAGTGACGATACGGTTGATCGGCGGGAAGCGGATCTTGTATTTGCGGAGAGTGGGCATGAGGATCTGGTCGACCAGAGGCAGGAAGACAATGATGGCAATGGGATCAAAGTTCTGCATCAAATCGTTGGGAATGCCGTGGCTGCGCATTTGACCGGCCTGGGTGACGAAGTTTGTGGAGAAGTTACCGTAGATGACCCAGTAGATTGGGTAGAACGCAAACACCTGGCAAGCGACAAGGGCACGCTTGACTTCCTCGACGAAGTGGTCGTCCCAGCGGAGGTTTGTATCCCTTCCAAGACCAGCCTGGAAGGAAGGCTTGGGAGCGTTCATGTTGCGGTTCTTGATCATCATGAAGATTACGCGGAACGCATTCGTGATGACGGAGCCCTGAGGAGGGCGGACAACGTAGACTTTGCGGCCAAGGACAAGGACAAGAAGACCGACGAAGAAGACGCAAAGACACAAAAGGTATGCGGGCCAGAAGTCAATATCGCGTTCCATGTAAGGCGTGGCAAGCAGCGAGAGAGATCCGGCGTTGATGCACCAGTAGAAAATCTGAGATGTTTAGTATAATGTCAAAACTTTACAGACCGAGAGAGCTTACCATGTAGATTCTCTGAATGGTAATGGCAGGATCAATAATAACACGCTCGCCAGTCTTGTCATCACGGCCAATGACCATTTGCCTTCGCTTGTACTGATCGGCAATCAAAGGCGCAACGTTGGACTTGATACCTCCAGTTCCTAAACCAATGATAACAATGGACACGATGAAGCCTCCAAGGCCTGCGCCACTATCGAGCGCAGCAGGGATAGAGGTGCAGGTAAGGATGATGAGTCCGACAATGTAGACGCAGCAGAAGATGACAATCGTGTTGTACTTTCCGAGGTATTGATCGGCGATGATGGCACCAAGAATCGGGGTGACATAGCACCAGAACTGGAAGAAGGTGGAAAGACCAGTGGCTCCTTGGTGTCCCATACCCAGGGCACCACGACCTTGCTCTCCACTGCGAGGACGAGCAATGTAGTTTTGGAAGATACCAGAGGCGCCATAGTAGGTGAAGCGCTCACAAAGTTCGACAATGGCGACTAGGAAAGCGCTCTTGGGGAGAGGCTCTCCAACCTTGCGGAGGGTAGCAAGATCCTCGGCGGTAGGCTTGACACCACCGATGCCATCTTCCTCGACAACGACGGAAGCAGAGTCGGAGCCATCAATGTGAGGCTTCTCGAGAGAGACGTGCGCGCCGGCGACGTTGGAGTCGTTTACGGTAGCGCCGTAGACGTGGGGGTTTTGGTCAGCAACCTGCTGGTTGTGCTGGAGTGCCTCGGCGCTATGGTGAGGTTAGTCGAGTCAAATCCAGTGACTGGTAAAACTCACGCGGTAGTCTCGTGAGCGGACGCCATGATTCCAAAGCTCAATCGCAACCAAAGACCAGGTCAATGGAAGGCAGGGCAAGAGCAACAAGTGTGACCTGGGAGAAAGGGACCGAAACCACCTGGAGCATGTCCAGAAGAAAGACGATGGCCTCCATATTTAACCCACCCCCTCGTCCAACATGCGCGATATCCACTGAATGGTCCTACTATAACCGACCGCGTCGCTCTTCGCCTCTTGGTGTCGCGGTGTGGGGCGTAACCACGCACAAGCAATTTACCAAGGCGATGTAACGTCTTGATAGCTCTACCCTTAGCCAAATAGAAGCTGTGCTCCGGTGCAAAGCTTGCCAAAGCCTTCCCTTGGCGGCTTAGCTGCTCCGCCGCCGCTCGGCATGCGAATTAGCGATTTGCCAGTGTGTTAGCATGGCTGCAAGCACCTGCCGAAAGCGGCGCTCCAACCTGGCGATCTTACGTTCTCATGCTCGTGTTTTGGACACACCAACTAATGGCCGGCATCCCATACATCCAACAAGGCGTGCCGACATGCCGGAAATTGAGGGAATACAAATGCGCTCGGTTTGGTTCGTCGATTGTGTCGGTATGCGGCTAGAGTTGCTGCACCTTGTCACCAGGCCGCACACCACCTAGGCCGCCGCTTACATATATACGGATTGGGGGAGGCGAGCGGCAACTCATAGTCCCAACCGCACATCCCTCCATGAGGCCAAACATCGAACCACAATAGTGCAGGAATCTGTTGCCATCCAGATGACATTCTTGTGCGAAAATTTGCTATGCCGACCCACTTGCGCGCCGATTGCGGACGAGGATTATGGCCATCGCCTTCTTCTATCCGGCGTCTGGGACCGACTCAAACCACCTCGGCCTGTTAAGATTGTTTCGGGGGACACCGAGAGATAAGCTTCTCCAAGACGACGGGGCAGACGGTGAACAGCCAGATATTTCTCCCGTTGTGGAGCTGCACCCTAATTTAGTCGGTCTGCCTACCGATCGCATGGACGATGTGGCCACACGAGCACCGAGAATTAGGCGAGGAAAGGGCATGCAATGTGTTAGCCCTACCGTTTACCGTACGCTTTGACGATCCCGGTAATGTTAGGCCATCCGCTATAGACTGCATCTGTGGCTCTGTGTATGGTGGAAGATATGGTGATGTTTCAAGCCACATGCATGCGTGGTGGTGTTCAAGTCAACCTTGGCTTACCCTGATGCCGTCACAGTCACGCGAAGCCAAGACGCCCAGAACGGAAGGCGCACTTCAAGCTTTTCTCACTTACAGATACAGGCATGGTAGATGTCAGTGGCGCCCTTGATCCTGTAGTAAGCGCCATACCCGTGTTAATCCCGAGCATGCTCCCCAGCGAACTACCTGGGCTATCCGCCAAAAGCCCGTTCTGCCCTGGGACGCGGTAGCATTCTAGAAGGCATGCAGACGCGCTTGTCAGTAGACGGGGTGTCCATACATGCATACATAGTAGCAGTGGCGGCCCACGGCGGACCAACAACATGGAATCAGGACATCCCTGGCACTCACAACGCCTTGTCTCAGGGTCATGGAGATACTGCCCGCTTCGGTGGCTAGGTTCGACCCGCCTGCAACCAGCAGCGCTTTGCGCACTCCGCAGCACTTGGCACGCTGTAACCTTGAGGGTCAATGCATATGGGCGGCTTGAGGTAAGAAAACCGCCTCGGCTCATTACTCTCTTGGACTATTCATACAATGCCTGCCTCTTTCCTCGTCACGTAAAGGCCGATACTAAAACACTCCTCAGTCATCCACAACAATCCCACGCACGCTTTTGTTGGGAAAAGCAGCTCACCAGAATGAAGAAACATCGACAACGCAAAGAAAAACCCGGGCTACCGGACACGCAAATCCTATAATACAGACAGTGCCCAGGCGTGCGATACAAAGGAAATGCAGAAAAACAATGACACAACATGTCTATGAGCAACCGTTGGGTCCGGTAGTGCCGGGGTCACAACACTGCTTTCCTCCTCCGCAGGTCTCGGGACATTCCAGCAGACAAGCGTCAGGTGCACCTCTCACGCTCGGGTTCCTGCTGCTGCGACCAGCATCCTCCGCGCCGCTATCGTCTGAGCCATGCGCCGAGTGGTCGTGGCTGGAATTCAGACAGAACTCTGGTTGAATAGTCGACGAGTGGATACCATATTCATGCAGGCACTCGCGGATTTGACGCGCGAGTTCCATGTAGCGTGCAGAGCCCTGGCCCTTGAAGTCAAAGTCAACCTGGACATGGAGAGAGGCAACGAGCTTGGTATCAGAAAGCTGCCAAACATGCAGGTGATGGCAAGAGACGATACCGTCGAGATCGCTGATGTCGTCGGTGATGTCATCAATAGACATGTTCTCAGGAACGGCCTGGAGCAGGATGCGGGACGCGGCCTTGCAGAGGGGCAGGGCAGAGAGGAGGATGATCACGGTGATGAGCAGAGAGACGGCAGGATCAGCATACATCCTCCATGAGAAGTCGGTAAGCCAGATGAACAGGGCAGTAGCGATGACGCCAATGTTGCCCAGAGCATCACCCATGACGTGCAGGAAGACACCGCGCATGTTGAGATCAGCGTGAGAGTGGCCATGACCGCCACCAGAAGACTGTTGTTTAGGCTTGGTGTGCTTGTGATCCTTGTGCTGGTTCTCCTTGAATTTTCCGTTTGAGTGTGAGTGACCATGTGCCCCATGTCTCTTAGACTTGGAAAGCAACGAAGTACGCTCAGTCGGCTCCTCCTCTGCTTCTACGTTTTCTTCGTCATCAGCCTCTTCGTCGCGCAGGCGAGACGACTCAATGATGCTATTTCTGAAAGAAGAGGGGTGAACGTAGATTTCGTCCAGGGTGGCGTAGTTGCGCGACTGGGATCGGCTGTGACGCTTGCTCTTCTTTACAGACACAGAGACGGCGGTGTTACTGCTCTCATCCGCAACGGCATGGTCGTGGTCGTGGTCGTCATGAGAATGCGCACCATGAGAGTGTCCCTCCTCCGCGTGTGAATGTTCGTCGTGTGAATGCGAATGGCCGCCGTGACCGTGACCGTGGTCATGGAAGAGGAAGAGGCCGACAATGTTGGAAAGGAGACCGCAGGAACCGACAATAAGGATGATCATGGGATGCGAGACATCTTGAGGTTCGACGAAGCGCTGAATCGCTTCGAGGAAGATGGAGAGACATAGCGCGACGAGGAAGACGCCGTTAATTAGGGCACCTAGGGTTTCGGCGCGTTGCCACTGCGTCTTGTTAGCAAGTGTACCGCGCATGATGACGGTGCCAACTCACTCCGTATGTGTATGTCTTCGAGTTGGTTTTCTGGCTGGCAACTTTGACTGCCCATAGTCCGACGAGAAGTGATATGACATCGTTCAGCTGCGCATCTGTCAGTATCCGCTCTATCGCGTGCGACCACATATACGCACCATGTGGAATGAGTCGGCTACAAGAGCCAGGGAATGCACTGCATATCCCGCAATCAACTCTACAAAGAAAAAGGCCGTGTCGATGCCCAAGAGGATCATGATCCTCGTGGATTTGGAGAGACCCATGGCGGCGATACCGGTGCGCCGTTCACGCTCGTTGAGGAAGTGGCTAGGGGTGCAATCGACGTGCCTCGGGGCGTGTAGGCCTTTTTGTGTCGTCGCAAAGGCCTCGGAGTGTGGCGGGTGTGGGCTAGAGGGCTACGCCGTGTCAGTAAAGGGGGGGGGGAAGTCGAGTTCAGCACCACAACAGTGGAGTAAGGATGGACGTTGGGAAGTCGAACTTTAAGCGCAGTCCTCGCCTTATGGCGTCAGGGCCCAAGCGCAACTGTCCTCAGTTTCACACCACAATCTCACAAGCACATGACAACAGCAAGCACGTTGATCAAACATTAGCTGTTATTGCTTGCGCAATTCATGGCTCGTGCAACGCGACAAAATCATCCCATCACAGTACTTTTGGGGCCTCGCTTGCCTCAGAACTGTGTTGTGTTTCGCCGCTTGGTACTGATGCGATCCGCACTTCAATGACATACCGAGGTCCTGCCACACACAATGTTGCCAGGATCTCGCGTTTGCCCCGCGCCATGCCTGCAGACTGAAAAATCCGTCTCGCATTTCTACAAACATGGACACGTTTAGTCAGCCTCTATGCATAGCCAATGGATTCTGGAACACACTACGAGTTGCACAGCGCCAAAAAACTTTCGGCCTTTTGCAAAACTTGACTCATTGTCTATAATAGACGGTAAGATCATGGTAAGCACTACGGGAATGCTAGTTCATTCCAACATGCAATCTACCATTAAGAGCCGGACATGGTCACCCCGATTGTACAGTTTTGGGAACACCGCCGAGATGGTGGGGCACTCGCAACGTCTCTTCACCATACACACCGACTGCAGGCATCCAAGATGAATACTGGTATCTAGGTTAGTTGTTATGGGAGTTGGATTGATCAGATTTATGATGGGATTAGAATTGCAAACTGTCGGCATAACATCCGGATTGGGTGCACTTATCGGAAGCACCATGATATATATAATTCGTCGGAGGTGAACAAAGCTTTACAGTTGGTATACCGACTGCTTCTATTAGTACCGTGCTTGAAACCAACGGTACCCGACGAGACATGGAGGGCGCTTAAGGCTTGGCGATAAGCAGCGTCACGGTAAAGGCAGGAAGCAGTGAATCCTCTTCCCTCCCTCCACACTCCACATTCTGTACCACCACCTCGACATGGCGGATCTGAACCAGTTCAAACCAGCTAGCAATCAAGCCCGGAGAAGCGACACTTGAGCATTCAACAAAGCCTACAACCGGGGCGAGCGGATCATGTTAACAAGCCATAGTTAGAACGGCGGTCTAGCACCCACCATCTCATTCCATACAAAACCCCGTGAAATATTTCTCCCTTCCCCCTTTTCCAATTTTCCCTTCCATTCTTCCCCTTTTGGACCGTGGTACAAAAAGAAAGAAAGAAAAAGGTCGTTACACATACAACCCCCTAAGCCCTTAGTCATCCTTCATATCGTCGTCATTGTCGTCGTCATCATCTTCGTCCTCGCCAAATTCAACCCCATACTCGGCACACACGTCCCATCGGTCGCCCTTGGCACTCTTGCTCACATACTTTGTAAAGCGCAGTACGCCTCGGTCACGCAGCACGATAGCCATGTTGTTCCACGCCGCCGGCTGGCTGAACAAGATACCGTCGTCTTCGTCATCGCCAGCGGATTTGTAAATGGCGGGATCAGCCTTTGCTTTTCGGCGCTGGCCGGCACCGGTCGAGGTTGAGCCTTCAGAGGTTGTGGGCACGGCGTGTTCCGAGTCGTCTTCGCCGGCCATGTACATTTCGTAGCCGCCGACCTCCTCCTCCGATTTGGACTGCTCGGCTGCTTTCTCCTTGTTGGCCTTGTTCTTCTTCTTCTTCTTGCTCGACTTGCCTTTTTGCGAGGCTTCCTCCGAGGTAGCTTCTTCAGGCTCTTCATCTTCATCACCCCAGCCGCGCGAAGGTGTGATGCCGAGACAGACTTCGAGCTGTGGGTCTTCTTCCTCGTACGCGGTTGCCAACGTGTAGTCTAGACCACGACGGAAACGGCGTGCAAAGATGTTACTCTTTGTTAGTGTGATACCTGTTACGAGCGAGATCCACTTCATAAAAGCGGGATGGGGGAAGAGGATGTCTACAAGGTCGTCGTATGGTGTCATGCCGTCGTTCTCAGGGTATGGAGTCGTTGGTATGGGTTGGACGGCCTTGCGGTAAAGGAAGCGGTGCTTGTGTGGTGGGCGTGCGACTCCAACTACCGACTCCTTGTGATGTGGGTTGGTGGGTAGGCTAGGCACCGCCTCGTGGTCCTTGGATTCGAGGTACTCTCGTAACCGTGCAGAGAACTTGTTTGACAGGAATTGCGCAAGCCGTAAAGACGACTCATCAGAAAACATCTTCGAAAGCTCCTCCACGGTGTCTGGAACGAGATAATTTGGGTTGATGAACTTGATGAGGAAGTCAATCTCGTCCTCTGTGAGCTCGTCGTCTTCCTGCTTCGCTTGTTCTTCCCAATATGGGTTCTCGACCCAATGTGATTGTGGCTCATCAAAGACGTCAGCCTTTCCTCCTTGGAGCTGAGCGAGCGAACTCTTCTCGGCTAGCTTTTCTTCAAGACCCTCCTCATAGCCCTCTTCCCCTTCTTGTGGAATGTGGAACCAACCACTGATGGCCATGCGGATGCGCCCACCGTCCTCTTCTGTTTTCTCCTCTACGCCCCTCCTGTACACTTCCTCGACATCGTGGAAGCTCTCACCAGGTTGTACTGTGAAGAAGGAGAGTTGGTTCCATGCAGGCGGAATTGATAACGAAAAGTCCGGTTGCGGTACCTTGACCTTGTCACCATCTGGCGTCTCAAGATCCTCGGTTGGGTACAGTCGCAGTGCACCTCCCCACTCGGCCTTCCATTCAATGTCAGGGTCAAGCAAGTATAGAATCCAGCTTACGCGACGGCTTCCAATGACATCGTCGTGGCATAGCAAATGACATCCTGGTGTGTAGACATTCTGTGGTTTGGTCAGCACCATATTCCAAACCCTGGCTTGCGCAACCTACCACAGCCATGTCTGTCTTGACCCCGCTCAAGGGCCCGGACCCTGTTATCGAAGATAGGTACTTGCGGAACGCAGATGAATAGAGCGAATCGCGGAGAGTGAGAAGCGACGGCAAGCGCTTGAGCGCCGAGTCATGAAGGCCGTCAAGATTGGCAAGATCACCAGATTGGTGAATCTTGTAAATGTCCGTCTCTTTAGGCGTAAAGTGGATGTGCTCGCGGATTTCGTTGCGGACATTGCGCAGGAGCGTGTCGTTGACCAGGTTTTGGATGACGGCGTGCTTGTAGCTGTGGATCTTGTCAGAAAGGACTGAGTGCATGTTGCAGCATTCACGCGTACGGCTGCGACTGGGCGTATTCGCTGGCGTATGTCTCGCGCACTTTGCTGTCGAAGAGACCGTCGCGGAAGTTCTTATGCGCCTCATCGTCTGAGATGGCCCTCTTCTTCTTGGCCATGCCGTTGGCAGGCGCCTCGTTCTTGCGCTTGCCCATTGTGACTGCAGCGGCGGGCTTCAAACGGGCAGCACGGGGCAATCAAGCTGTGGTGTTGAGGCAATGGAAAGAGGAAGCTCGTTGATGATAAATTTGGTCGGCATAAGCTTTTTGAGAATCGCCGATGCCTTGCCATCGCCCTCACACCACAGTCGGTCCACCTAACCCTGTCCGGCCACCGGGCGAAGATTGTTGCCCTGGGTGGATGCTTTCCCCTCAAGTTCACCGATGACGACTGCACCAGCCAAGCACCGGCCGGTGGCTGCAGGGCCGCCATGAAGGTTTCACGGCTGTGTTGTTGCGGAGAGCCAGGTGCTCCGGTTGGCTGGCACCTTGCTTCCGCCGACGGCAACCCATCGATAGCTCCCAACACACAAACTCTCGCTTCAATACGATATCTCTTCACTTCCTCACGGCCTGGATCTGCACACGCACGCAACGTGTTCCTCTGCATTGGCCACACAGGACACTGCTATCTACACCTAGTGGGTATATGAACATGATCGACGTCGCGTGATCGGATATGCGAACCGAGCTGCCAAGACGTGTGCGTATGTCTACTATGTGGCTGACCATTTCAAGACGTGCCTCTCCAAATTCGTCTACCGCAGCACATCTTACTCCTCATGGTCTGCCGAAAGCAGCTTAGCCATCTTCCCTTCTAGCATCTTGACGTCGTCCCCGACCGTCTTGATGTTGTTCACCATGGCTGTCTCTGCCCTTTTGATGTCCTTCTCCAAAATCTCAAGTTGCTGCTCCCACTTTTTGATTTCTAGTTCCTGCGCCGATTGCCGACGTTCAAGCTCAGTCAAGACCTCGTCAGCCTGCCAAGCACTCGTATGTACGAGTCGTAGTGTGCGCAGCCGCTCAAGGACTAGCGGTAGGATGGGCGATAGTTTGTCAATAGAAGGCAAAGTGCCATACAAGGCGTTGATCTTCGCTTCCTGGTCAGAGTATGTACCCGAGCTGTTATCGTTCGAGCCCGCACCAGCTTCTGCCGCCTCCTCGCGAACCTCCTTCAGGTGCTCTGCTTCGGCCGTAAGCTTCTTGACGTTTTGCGTGACTGTGTCCAGGTTGTTTGATGCAGCATCTCCAATTAGGCCCATAGTCTGTTCCAGCCGCGTTAGAGTCGCCGACACGGGGAAAGGCGTGTGATCGTTCAGCTCGGGCATTGTATTTCCATTAAGGCCCAGACTGCCCTCGAGCTGCGTAATGCGCCTATCGAACTCGGCTGCCTGGTTCAACACAAATTCCAGTTGGCTTCTTTGTACCTGTGTGCCTGGTAGTGGCGGCTGGTTTGCAATGGCCTTGGTGAGTTTGGGGCTGGGATCAAAGGGCTTGTAGCTGTCGAACTTCTGCACTGTGCGATCGAGTATCGCCTGTGCGCCTCGGGCGCCACCTTTATGTGCAGCGTAAATTGTGTCGACCTTGCTCGCTATCATCTCCATCATCTCCTTGGGATCTTGCTCCTCAATCTTAGACTTGTCCCCGCTTTCAATCTTCTGCTCGTACTCATTTTCCAACGCGGCCAACTCTCGCTTGATCCTTAGTAGTTTTTGTGCAAAGCTTTCCTCCTCTTCGTCGCTGGCATCGCCTAATATCTCGCCCCGCCGCCGCTGGCGCCGTGTAGATGTGCGATAGGATTGGCCCTGCGCGGTGACATTGTCCGAAAAGTCAACCCCGCGGGCGTCTATTCGAGCAGGCTGAAAACGATTGCGGGCCTGATCTGGCTGCAGGCGTTGGTGACGGACTGCCGAGTAATCATTGTCGTCGTCGTCATCGCCGTAGTCTGATTCGGAAACAGCGGTGGAAGCTTGTACTGTAGACACGTCTTCGGTAAGTTCTGGCGTCTCGTAGATGTCAGGTGCTGTGTCAATGCCTGGGAGATTGTCGTATTTCGGCCTCGTCGCTTCAGACATTGTGAACTGGAGAGGCGGGGTTGACTAGTTGGCCGAACGTCAGGGTTTACGCCTACTGAGGGACGCGTTCGCTGAGACCGTCGCGACTTGTACACTAGGCCATAAATGGTTTAGTCGGGCATTGCTGGCTTCATTCAAGAGCACGGCTGGGCCAGGATCTCGTGTGACTTGAGGAATTGGCATTTTTGTGGGTTTGCATCATCAACATGTACATCACCAAGTCCTGCTTTTGTGGTGTAGTGCATTGTCTGACCATTTCAACTCACTCTCCGCAACTTTGTGCATGAGCATACCATGTATCAGGCAATCACGAACAAATTCTGGGTTGTATATGTCGTGTTACAATTGTAGTCTGCTTTCTCATCTGATCTATGCCTGAACCTTGAACGTACGACCGCTGGCCGTCTTGCGCTCCTTCTCTTCCGCCTCGGGACGAGCTCTGCGAAGAACTAGACAAGTCAGTAAACAAGCTTACAAAGAGCATATCTGTGGCAAGCATACCTTGGAGGAAGTCGGCAGTCCTCTTGCGCATTCTTGAGTGAATAAAAGCCTTGGAGGCCTTGATGTGGTAGTGGAAGTAGTCACGGAACGTCTGGATGTGTGAGATGACATCGGCTCGTCGTTGGTTTGTAAGATGGCGAGGGAAAAGCACTGTACTGGTCAGCCATGCACAGTCATACACATTCTACTGCATCTCTACTCACCAAAGGTAATGTAGCCAATATCAGCAGAGCCGGATGTGTCGACTCCGGGAATGCCTTGTAGCTCAAGAGGTGGGTCGTTCCTGAACAGCACTTGGGGAGCGTTTTGAATAGCCCTTCGCCTGGCATCGACGAACTCTTGCAGGAAAACCTTTCCAAATATCCTATCCGTCTCTTCACGGAACACTGTTGAGAAAATAACAGTTACACGGTCATGACTGGCCTTGACGTATATGGCTTCCTCCTCTCGGTAGTGGATGGCGCGTACATCACCGCCCTCTGCCACACCTTGCGGCGCCGACTCGGATGTGTACTTGGAGGCCTCCTCTTGGAGCTGGTGAAATTCGTCGAAAGCCTGCTCGAAGGGTGCAGCCATGGCGTTTCGCTTGAGGAGGGCTACGCGGCGGACCAGGTCATCCTTGGCCTCTGCATACCGTCAGCGCTTTTCTTCGTCAACACACAATTATGCGCACCTTGGTCCTCTGGCAGATTCTCCAAATCTACTTGGACAGAGAAGTCATATCCAGATTCTGGCTCCACAATGAACGGCCCATACTCGCGCTCGAGGACAGCCTGTGCACCGTATTGGACGAGTTCCTTAAAGCATTTGATGTGCAGCGACACGAGGATCTTGGTCTTGGTCTCTGGGGTCGAGATGTGGAAGGTGACGCCGTCAAAGTCGGAGACGACCTGGTCAATGTTGGCGGGAGCTCCTCTGTGTGCTGTTAGCTACTTGGCGGCGGAGCGGGAGGCTGCGGGGCACGGCGAACCCATTGACGCGGTCCCTCAGCAGGGACTCAATGAGAACGTTCTGATAGTCGAGAAGAAGCATTGTGGGTGTTGTAGCTTCTCCGCAGGGTGAGGGAGGTGGTAATGTCGGGCGGGGAGCTCTCGAGTCGGGCGGTGATGCGGAGGACGGAGGTGTGCTGTGGTGATGCTGGAGGGTGGGCCTAGCGCCAGTCGTGGGGTCAGGCCCTTGTCTAAAAAGTTTCCAGAAATATGCGACCTTGCATCTCGACAGCCAACAGCCGCCCACAGTCGCACATGTTCTGCAAGAAGCGCAATGAGTTGGAGTCGTCACGCTTGAGCACCTTGAAATAATTTTTGTCTCACGTATAGTGAAATTGATTGACGACAAGAGCGCAACATGGTCAAATCCTACAGGTAATGCGCGCTGGCGGCGCAGCCCATGTAAAGCTTCTGCTGACCTTCACACAGCAAGTATGAGCAGACGGACGCTTTCGGCGTGGTCGCAACTGCTACCTCGAACATCGTTTGGACCCCAGAAGGCCTGACCCAGCCGGGCTCCAACAGGCCTGCTGGTGCCGGACGCGCATACGCCGCTGCGAACGAGGAGGTACTGTGCTGGGATATAAAGAAAAGCGAGCTTGTGAGCCGGTGGCGAGATAATTCATGCACTGAAGAAGTCACTGTCATTCGCCGAAGCGATGTGGACCCAGATGTCTTCGCCGTTGGTTACGCAGATGGCAGTATACGCATCTGGGATGCGCGAACGTCAACCGTCATCATCACCTTCAACGGCCACAAGTCCGCAGTCACCGTACTTGCTTTCGACCAGACCGGCGTCCGACTAGCAAGTGGTTCCAAAGATACAGACATTATTATATGGGATCTGGTTTCGGAAACAGGCTTGTTCAAGCTAAGAGGGCACAAAGGTCAGATTACCGGCTTGCACTTTATCCACCCCGAAGACTCGCCCCAAGAGGATGATGCCGAAGACGGAGATGTTGACATGGACCCGAACCAGGCGTTCTTGCTCTCTACTAGCAAAGATGCCTTGATCAAGATTTGGGACGTTACTACCCAGCACTGCATCGAAACACACATTGCGCAGACAAATGGAGAATGCTGGGCGTTGGGTGTTTCACCAGACGGCAGTGGGTGTATAACAGCAGGCAACGATGGAGAACTCAAGGTGTGGGCCATTGACCAAGCCGGTTTGCGAAAAGCCGGTTCAAAGATTGGCGAAGCGACAGACCTCGAGTACCTCACCCCACGAGGCATACTATACCGACAGGGCAAGGACAGAACACAGGGTATCTCGTTCTATTCAAAGGCCAACTACATCGCGGTGCATGGTGCAGAAAAGGCTGTTGAGATCTGGCGCATAAAGACCCCAGAAGAGGTCAGGAAGAGCTTGATCAGGAAAAGAAAGAGAAGGAAGGAAAAGGCGAAAAATGAAACAAAGGGAGACGCGCAGGAAGAGGCGGAGGCAGACGAAAAGGTCAATGTGGCGGATGCTGAGATTGGCGAAGTATTTGTGCCATATGTGACCGTACGAACGGCTGGAAAGGTGAGGTCGGTTGCTTGGATGCATATCAAAGGATCGAAGAAGTTGCAGCTTCTTGTCGGCACCAACAACAACCTCATCGACGTTTACGAGATTCCGCATAAGAGCAAGTCGAAGAGCGAGGAAGCCCCCGACTATTCTCGGACATTAGCCGTTGAACTCTCCGGGCATAGGAACGACGTGCGCGCGCTCGCACTCAGCTCGGACGATCGCATGCTAGCATCTGCGTCGAGCGGAGGCCTGAAGATCTGGAACGTCAAGACGCAGAATTGTTTGCGCACATTGGAGTGCGGATATGCACTGTGTTGTGCATTCCTTCCAGGAGATAAGATTGTTGTCGTAGGAACGAAAGATGGCGATATTGAACTGTATGACATCGCAGCATCGACATTACTCGACAAAATTTCTGCCCACGAAGGAGCCGTGTGGACAATGCAAGTGCATCCCGATGGCAAATCGCTCATTACAGGCAGTGCAGACAAATCGGTCAAGTTCTGGAATTTCGACATTATCCAGGAGGAGATACCAGGAACCAAACGTACAATGCCTCGTCTCAAGCTTATCCAGTCCCGTGTTCTCAAGGTCAATGACGACGTTCTAAGCGTACATGTATCGCCCGATTCACGATTACTAGCCGTCGCAACCCTCGACAATACTGTCAAAGTCTTCTTTGTAGATTCGCTAAAGCTCTTCCTCAACCTCTATGGCCACAAACTGCCCGTCCTCAACATGTCCATCTCCAGCGATAGTAAACTCATCGCCACTTGTTCCGCTGACAAGAATGTGCGTATATGGGGTCTGGACTTTGGAGATTGCCACAAAGCATTATTTGGCCACGAAGACAGCATCATGCAGATCTCTTTCATCCCGCATCCTGTCGATGGTGATGAGCGCCACCTCCTGTTTAGCGCCAGTAAAGACAGGACGATCAAGAGCTGGGACGGTGACAAGTTCCAGCAGATTCAGAAGTTCAAGGGCCACCACGGTGAGATCTGGGCCATGACCGTGGCGCGGACCGGTGACTTTATCGTCACAGCCAGCCACGACAAGAGCATACGTATCTGGACAAAATCAGATGAGCCCATTTTCCTCGAGGAAGAGAGGGAAAGGGAATTGGAAGAAATGTACGAAAAGACACTGGCAACAAATCTAGAAGATGAGGAAGATCCCAACGGTGAACGCGCCGAAGCCGTCGACGCCAGCAAACAAACCATTACCACTCTCACGGCCGGTGAACGTATCCAAGAAGCCCTGGATCTGGGCATGGTAGACCTGGAGGTTGTTCGTGACTGGGAGATTCAGAAGAAGTCCAACCCCAAGATTGCATCACCGCAGCGCGATCCGCTCTTCCTGGCTCTCGGTAACATATCAGCCGAACGCCATGTCCTCAACACTCTTGCCAAGATTCCCGCAGCACAACTCCATGACGCACTCCTTGTCCTGCCCTTTTCTTCCCTGCCTGCTCTCTTTACCTTTCTCGCTATCTGGGTGCGCAAGCAATGGAACATTACCCTGACGTGCCGGGTTCTCTTTTTCATGCTAAAGACACATCAAAAGCAAATTGTTGCAAGCAGAGAGTTGAAGACTGTAATTGAAGGTATGCGCAACGACCTCAGGAGTACGTTGATGGGTAACAAGGACCTGATTGGGTTCAATGTTGCAGCCATGAGATTTGTGGGCGAGAGAGTGGATGAGGCACAGTTGGTCAGATGGGAAGATGTGGATAAGCTGGAGGAAGAGAAGAAGAACAGGAAGAAGCGAGCATTTGTCGATGTAGCATAGAGTTCTCTTCAAAGCATGAGCTAAAGCGGCGTATTGGTCTAGGTCAAAAATTATTGCACTATTGATTGAACTATAGCATGTTGATGAAATTATACGCCAGTTATCTACCAACACGATTCATAGCATTACGTTGACTATAGTTTCGACTCGATAAGTTCTTCTTCCTCTTGCCGTATACCCTGCCACACGTCGGCAACGTGCCACAGCTTGGTCAGTCCAATATCTTCTAATATTGCACCTCTTCCATTACGATAGATGGCATCGTAACGATCTTCGTCAACTTCTGTTACTCCATTACCATCAAACACTACGACCTTACCCTCCTTGGCCCATCCCTCACCATTGGCCCATCTAATAAAATGGTCCTGCATTGCCCGCGCAACCCTTTTGTTGTGCTCGTCTAGATGCTCTTCAAAGTTATTAAGAAGGTACGCGACATCGAGTTCGTGAGAAGATAGGCCCTTGAACGGACCGTCAATAGGATTAGGAACATGGAAATGATACCGTGAAGCGCGTCTTGGTGGGGAAGCAGCTTTCCAGCCTCGATATGCTGACAGTGCTGCCAAGTGGAAGCGCAGGTCGCCGACCAGCTCGAGTAGTCGTTCTGCCTCTTGTTTCTTTGGCAACGGTCTTTCCAGATTGTACACGGCTAGAAGACTCTGCGTCTCAGATGCCGTGAGGTATTTTGAACATGCCTGTTTGAGTCGACCCAACGCATCAGGGGGGTCGAGAATCCTGCCCTTGAGAACAGTGCCATCATGCGCTGTGTCTCCTACCACAATCTCCTTGCACCAAGAAGGCTTGTGCACCTCGCTCTTCCCGTCCATGACCGACTCGATTGTCACTCGGGAGGTGAAAAACTCATTATCAACGGCCATAGTCCATTGTTGTACCACTGGCATCTTCTGGGCCAGCTCTTCCGCATCTGTCTCGAGCAGTGCCCTCCTTCTGCTCTCGGCATCCCCTCTTTCCAATTTCAGATGCGAGGACTGATCTTCCAGCATCTTCTGCTGCCACCACCTATTCCGCCACTTCCTCACCGTTACCTCACCACTCATCAGCGCCACTCTCTCAAACAACCCCTCATCTCCCACATTAGCACAAAGCAGTGTCGAAAGCGATATCCCACCTGCCGACTCTCCCACCGCAGTAACATTACTCGGATCGCCCCCAAACCCCGCAATGTGTCGTTTGATCCACCGAAACGCTTGCAGTTGGTCTTTGAATCCGATATTCCCCCGCGACCCAATCTCTTCGCCCGCGAGGAAACCAAACATGTTAACGCGATAGGTTATCCCAACCCCAATCACGGGCTTTCTAATCTCCACACTACGCTCCACGAACCGCTGCATCTGATACTGCGGCCAGTTATTCGATCCCATACTCAGCCCGCCGCCGTGAACCCATACAAAGACTGGGAGTAGGTGCCTGCGCCCTGGCGTTGTAGGAGCATTGCCAAGACCTGATTTTGGCATTGTGACATTCAAGTTTAGACATTCGAATTCGTCCATTCTCTCTGTGGGGCCTTGGCCCTGGGCATAACTGAGTTTCGCGCTGCCGATCAGCGTTAGATCCCATGCTTGGGCTGCGCGGTGTTGGGGACATGAGGGGCCGAAGCGAGTATTGTCTACCACGCCGTCTGCTCCTGCCTTCAGCGGCTCATCGTTTAATATGGAATCCTGGTAGCGGGCTGGTATGCGTGCATATTTTAAGTTGAAAAATTCCAGTGTTGACGAATT